TAAATATTTACTAACTTATTACACGAATTCTAACAAGGTTTACTTGACCTAAGACATAAAGACATAACCTGAAATTAGGCGCAAGGATATTACCTCTCTCCTCCGCTAACTAACGCAACATCTACGTCATCAATTGTCAAATTTCAAAATTACCATAAATAAGCGCGAAATTCAAATATTCAAATTTAAATTCCTATAAAAAGACAAAAACTAAAGCCAAAAAATTTAGTTTAATACCAAATATTTTTCGTCTACGGCGCTATTTTAGCCTGCGGCGCTGTCCCTCTTAATTTGACCCACCTGTAAAAAAACTCACGAGCCGCGCCTGCTGGTGCCTATACATATAATTTGTTTAATGGTCACTGTGTGTTCACCGGTTGATTTTCTGTTCTGCATTCGTGATATCTTCGACCTCTTTCTCCAAATTTTCAAGACGTTCAGGGGTTCTGCTTTAGTTTTCTTCTCCAGACTAAAATGTAATAATCTATTGTATGTATTTCATTCACTCCAGCCTCTATTTGTTTACTTCAAATTTTCTTATTTTTTTTTTATTGATTTGAAATTGGGTTTTCAACAAGCATAATCAACTCTTCCGATTCCCGAGCTTTTTTCTTTTGAGTTAGCATTAAATTGCCACGCACTAGACCACGTTTACAATTTTAGCTACGCATTTCTTATCGAAATTGCGTGGCTTAGTAATATGCCTTGAGAATGACCACAAACACCAAAATATTAAAATTTTCAAACTTCGCACAAAGTTTAGAATGATTCCCAACAAAGTTCGGTCGACCAGGTTTTATATTTACATTTTTGCCGCATTAGGCCGACCTCTTCCGTATGAGGATGGAAGAATCCAATGAAAACAGGTGCGAGAACGGCTGGCCCTAGGTGACCTGCATTCTTTTCAACGACCATGATAGGGCAGTCAAACTGTTGGTAATAATTTACAAATTTGTACCCAAGAGAATGTTCGTAGACACATTAAATAATTTTTTTTCGTTTCTCACCTCTACGTTGGTTATTTTGGATTTAGTTTAATTTTCTAACTCCTTCGCGAAAAGGCGTTTACTTGTTAAACCAAAAATTATGTTTGGATTAGTTTGGGCTAGTAGTAGGCGCCTCCACTTTTTCACATTTCACAATCAACCTCAATTTTTTTTAATTCGACAAGGAAATATTCACTGCAATTATTATTAATGGGTAAACTCCAACAACCTCATGAAAACATTTTCCATAAACGTCCTCGGGTTATTTGCAATAAATAACTACCTACCTAATAAGCAATGGAAATTTCAATTTATATTCCCGAAGTTGCAAACAACTTTTAGCAAACTAGGCGTCTGTTCATTACTTTAAGCAGCTGCATTTAAAATTTAAAAGTAAAAATATGTAGAAACTGGATTACTTAGTTTGCAGTTGCAGCTACTTGCAAAAGAGAACTTTTCTACTGAGTCAAAAGTACGCGGAATATTAACATCGCAGTAAGCTAAATAACAAATAATGCAAGTAGGGCGGATATAACAGCTGAAGCTCAATGAAAACCTACTTTGGACTTTTTGAGAAGAAACTCCAATAACTTTGGTTGGACATGAAATTTTGTTGTATGCATTTTTGGATACATGAATCAGTTATTAGGAGTGGAGTAACCCAACCAGTCAAGAATTCAAAATCAAGGAAAATGTTTAGGTACATTTTTTCGTTGTAGATCAGGGCTTCGAGAGATGCGATTATTATCTCGAGTTGCAAAGATAGGATAGAGGGCAAAGATAGGATAAGGGGATCATAAATTAATGAATACTGGATGGTTTTGAATTTTGGTGGGTCAGCAGCTTATTCATGGAGAAGCCATCAATATTTTATATGGCAAAAAAATGTACATGCGAGAATGTAGATTAACAACGGGTTAAACATTGAACTCATAATCACAAAAGCAAACATGTGTGAGTCGACAGTGGCGTATTTTGAAATTTGGCGCCCTGGGCCTTCAAGGTTTGCCGCCCTAATTTAACAAAAAATAAATAAATAATGAAAAAAGATGAAACGAAAAAAAAAAACACAATTTATTTATTAAATATATGAGAGTTTGCAACACAAGACATTAGCCGTACCCCGGTCACAGAGCTTCGGAGTCGCGCGCATCCTCTGTCATTTCTTTGTCAGTTCCAGCAGCTGATTATTTGTTATTTGTTTATGTTTGAAGCTTGATATCGTAATCTTTATGTTGAGCTTTAGAAATAATTATACAAAAGTTTAGAGGTGTTGGCACGTTGGCAGTCTAATTTTTTCATCTATTTTTACAACTGGATCCAATTTTACAACAGACTTACCCAAAATAATCGACTGTCTAGTGCTATCTATGTCTTTGTAAATTAGCATATTATTTAAAAAACAAAGCGCGCTATGCTCTAAACTCTAGACTAAATTAACTTGTTTATTTTTAAATAAAATAGTAACTTATGAGGACTAGATCCCACTAGATGTACAGGTTAGTTTAGGTTAGTCTGCATTTTCTGTCAAGAAAGAAGCTATTCGTGCTAAAAAAAAATTGAATCAAAAACATTAAAATTGAAAAAATCCTGAATTTTATTTTTTCAAAAATTGTCAATTTTTCTGGAAGGGCAGGGCAGAAAGTACATATTTTCAGATTACGATAAGATAATTTGGGGCTTAAAACCTAACACCCAATAAACAAATAATCAGCTGATCAGTGATCATCTGTGGAACGCTGCTAGAACTGACAATAATGTGATGCGCGCGACTCCGAAGCCCTGTGACCGGGGTACGGCTAATGTCTTGTGTTTGCAACCTGTCGGAAAAAATCGCTCAGCTAGGTTACCGATTTATCTTAGCTCGTGTTTATGTTGAAGCTGTGATACACGATAAAAGCAACGATGCTAATGTATAGTATAGTAAAGTTGAATTCACGATGGAGTTTGAATTTTGACTGTTATTTTCACCAGTTGAAAGTAAATAAAATCCCCAGATCTGTCCCTTTTTCTGTCAACTATCAAATAATGATACACGACATTTCAATTTGACGCATAAAAATATCAGATTCCGAGTCTTTGAATTTTGAATTTCGAATTTTTGTGTGAAATCGTTCAGATTTTTGCCGTTTTCTGCATTATTTTTTGATTTGTTATATTCACAATCGGTTTTTTGGTTTTTTACGTAGTGTTGTGTGTTTCGGTGTTGCGTTTCAAACCTGGTTTTAGTTTGAATTTAAGTGTTTACTCTTTTTATAAGTATTCACTTTGGACTCTAATTTTTGGATTTTTGGAATTTTAGTAACTTAACTTCCTTTAAAGAAATTGAAAATAAATTTTTATTCTGAAATGTATATCACTATTCTAAATACGACCCTGACTTTATCCTGGCTGACGGAATCGAAGCGCTAATGCATGCTGGCAAATAAAAAGTTACTAGAAATGTCGACGTAAACTGTCAACTTCACTTTCTATCGTGATTTCAACTATATCATAGTATTGTTGCTTTTATCGTTTATCACAGCTCCAACATAAACACAGCTTTAGACCAAAGACAATAAATGCTTTGAAATATGAATGGGTGATGTGCTTGTCACTTGTCACAGTTTGTAAACTGTCAGAGACACTTGTGAAAACAGCAGCAGACCTATCGACGCCATAATAATTAACTGATTTTGTCTATGGTCTATGTCTATGTCTTGGCCTCTATATCAAAGATGGCTGAACTGTTCACACGGTCTTCGCTTATACAGGAACAAAGATAATTTTTTATTCTTTCATCAGGTGATCGGACGGTCGCTGAATTGCCCCATTCCTTGTTATATTATCAATTAAATAATAAGTTTTAGTTTTTTTTTTTTTTTTTTTGCTGTGTTGGTAATTTGATAGCTTCCTAAGCGCTGGGGACGCAAGCCGCCCCTTGCAGTCCTACCGCCCCGGGCCATGGCCCCCATGGCCCTATGGTAAATACGCCACTGTGAGTCGACAATGGACAATTTCGAACTTGGGATAGAAATGTGTGAATGAAAAGAACTTGATGAAGCATGGCGCCATATGACAAAATCGGGATAGGACAAATGCGCGATGGGACAAAAGCGCGTTGGAACGAGACCCCTACAAAAGTGCATAACAGTGAAAAAAAAAGATACCTACGCAAATACAACCAGAAAGTTCAAGCTAATGCATCTCGTTCTTAATTTTGAGCCGATGAATGGATTTGTTAATATTATTGAAAACTCTTTGTTGAATGGATGAAAAACAAATTTGTCCATCCAATATTTACAGTTCTGTCACGAGTCAAGTCGATCTTATCCTTTAACATAATGTTCAACAATCATCTATATAATTTATGTCTAAACTCTCATATTATTGTCCATAACAAAAATCTTAATATTATTTTAAACAATTTAAGCACACAGTAAAGTACCCTGTGGACCTTTATTTCCAAAAAGTTTGTTTATTAGCAAAATAGGTATTCTTATATGGAGATTTTTCAGTTTAGTTTTGCACAATTTGTGCTTGGACTAGATACTCCTCTATACCTAATACCTTTGTGGCTATATAGTTCGCCTTACGAGTCTAGCACTACGACGTCTGAAGGGCAAGGGGAAATAATGCCATTCATTTCGAGCTTTATGCTGCCTGTCATAGGCGTGCGCGCAACGTTTTTAAATATTACTTTTCCCCTATAAATGTAGGTGTGTAATATATAAATATTGAGGTATTTTTTATTGGAAGTCAAATAGGCAATATTGCAATTTTTTTTATCCGCATTCTTTCCATAGTGCTAGACTCGTGCGGCGAACTTTAGATTATATTTGATTTTATGCCATTATTTACCTACATTATTGTAATGATGATTTGGCCACAACGAAAAATAAACCTAGGACGTGCCGGAATATCAATAAGTAACTCCTCTTCGGCTTGTTTTTGGTCTGAGACAATTTCGAGACCTGGAATCTTTTGCTTAGGATGCGATATGTTATTGGTAGTCTAATTGTAATATTGTTTCAGGACACGATGAACCATTCGACTTGTACTACGACACTGAAGATGAACACGAAAGACCGAGAATTACTACCTTTGTTCAATCGCTAGCAAACTACTCCAATACTATACCTCCACCGAACACCGATCCGGATGCTCCACCTCAACCGCCTAGCAAGGGTGCCCAAATGGGTACCCTTATGGGCGTTTATCTACCATGTATCCAAAATATTTTTGGTGTTATTCTGTTTATCCGTCTAACTTGGGTAAGTATAACAGAATATCTTGAAATCTATATCGAACAGAGAGATAGAACGAAAAGATTTATTCTTGCAGAAACAATAATAATTATTATCACTTTTCAGGTTGTAGGAACTGCTGGCGCAATATGGGGTTTTTTGATTGTGCTCACATGCTGCTGTGTGACTATGTTAACTGCAATTTCAATGTCCGCAATCGCCACGAACGGAGTGGTACCGGCCGGAGGGAGTTATTTCATGATATCGCGATCAATAGGACCGGAATTCGGGGGAGCAGTCGGTATGTTATTTTATACCGGTACGACTCTGGCCGCTGCTATGTATATAGTTGGCGCGGTTGAAATTGTTTTGGTAAGTTTATCATTCCAGCAAGGTTATATTGGAAAAGTATACCAGTATAGCTACTTTATACAACAGTAAATAAGACAGCATGAAAACTAAAACTCGGTTTCTATGCGGCGTCGCCTGTGTCAAACATGGACAGATATGTCAAAAAATATTGAGCTTTGTTATTTATTAACACAGACTGGTTTTTCATCCCATACATAGATCAGAAAAATACCTACGTCATATAGGCACACTTCGTATTTTGAACATTTTCGAACTTATCGCGAATCATTTTCAATGTTTTCCCCTTATTTTTCTCGTGAAAATATATTATTGTATTTGAACAATTTTTTCCCATTTTCTACAATATTGATCCATTATTTTTGCAACTCCAATACCTTTATAAGTAAATTAATTCCTCGATTTTTTAGTTAGTTCACAAATCTTCTCAATTTTCACTTTTGAAACACGAATAAATAATCAAAACTCAGCTTGTCTCATCGGCTTTTTATTCTCCGATTTTTGTCAATGAGGAAGTTGCATAAAGTTTTATTTTGATGCAAAATGTATTTAAAGTGAAGCAAAATACTCTAGAAGTACATTTCTATATTTAAATCCTCTTTATACTGAACCACTAATAAATAATTAATTATTCCAATATTGAATATCAAAGGGCGCGAAAACGCTCTCAAATTGGTTATGACGTCATGGAACGATAAACAAACAAAAGTGTGGTTATGTTAACGTGAGACGTCAGACGCTTGTGTTTACATCGAATAGGGCAATCCAACGACCTGTCAAAATGGAATTCAAAATGGAGGCCAATGCCTTTTTATTTAAAAAAAAAAATGCCGTTTTATTGCGATTTTTGATTTGTTTAAAGTCTGTAGAGTGTTGATTTTTTGGAAAATGCATACGTTATGTATTGTACTTAGTTGTGGGGCCGTTCTAATCGCGAGAAAGTCTAGTTTCATGCCGTTCCTGCAGAGATAAAACACAGGTTTTTAACGGAGAGAAATGATTTGTCTGTACTTTGTGAGGGCTTCAGGGATTGTAGCAAAAGAGAAAAAATCTTACGAAATCCATATTAAAAAACCAAAAAGTCTCTCTACATAAATGGTGTATGGATCAAAGCCATTTACTATCCTCCACATCAGCTTGTGTCGCGATACCTTGAATAGCAGACAAATAAAATACACATCAGGATTCAGGATTTGGTTAGGAAAAAACTAAACAGGAAACAAATCCTGGATAGTACCTACCTAATTTTTTAGCAGGTAAAGGTTTGTCACAAAGAAATCATAACTTTTGCAAACATCCGGGTTTTCCACTCATAATTTCTTGAACTAACAACTTTCCATCTTAAAATACGAAATTTATCCTCCCAAACACTAGAAAATCATCTAAAAACACCACAAAATACACAAACAACAGTTTTTTTGATGAAAAATGTCACGTTTGTTTGAATTAAATTTGTGGCGCCAATTTTTTGGCGTTGACCATGCATTGACCGCCATTTTGTTTGGATTGCCCTATTCTACCGATGGATCCACCATTTTATGGCGGTCAATGTCATTTTCCATTCACTAAACAAATTTAGCTAACTTATCGATGAAGTCACCGATTAAAATAAAAACGAGGCGAAACTTGACAACAAAATAAACCACCTGTCACATGTAAATCGCATAAAACCAATGACATAAAACACAATAGGTAAGACAGGGACAGAGATGAACTCGTTTTGACGGATATCGTCTTGTGACGTCATTGATTTACGACTGCGTTTTGGCGCGAAAAGAATTATTTTAAATTTCTATATTTTTTTACAGAAAAACTATTAGTTGAAAATTTGAAATTTATTTGATAAGTGACTTTTTACAATGTGAAGACTTTAATAAGAGATTAAAAAAAAATGTGCAAATTCCTCATTGTAGCGAAAAGGTTTTCGAATACCATACTGATAAAACTAGATACACATATTTCGTTTAATTTATCACGAAAACTAGGATATTTTAATTACGTTATCTCTTCTTAAAAATCATAGATACGTACGTCAGAGCCGGGTTTTGTACATTTGTACATTGAGAGGTCGAAACTATTATGCTCGTCACAACATGACAAAACAAGAAAAAATCTGAGAAAGCGAAACTAATGCAATTTGAATCAAGAAATACTTTCAAATGGAAGATCTACCATAAGTTGAGATATTAATCATGTACAGTGTGGTCTAATTTGGACACTTTTATAAGGAAATGTCAATTACTGGGCGTAAGTAAGCGAGATACAAAAAAATTAACCCTTTACTCTGAGACTAAAATTTAAGAAAACCCCCATTGGGGCCAACCGCAGTTGTATACTCTCAGGCTCAAATTTAATAAAATTTTTATTGGTGCCAACCACAGTTGTATACCTTTTCCCGTTTTGCCGCTACAGACGGCGTTTCTCGATTGTGAGCACTACTGTCAAATCTTCATAACTTTTTTGTTTATGAAAATAATTGATTTCTGTGAAAACTTTCTAGGAGCACTTTTTGATACAGAATTTTTCTTTCTCAGTTTTTTTTTTTGATATCAAGAAATTGACCACAGTCTGATTTTTGAAAATAGGACATGTTTATCTCTAACATTTTTCGAGAAAAAAAAAATGTCTGTTTTTGTCATATTTAGATACGTTAGGAAGAGACCCTTTTTATTTCCCTGACCGATATGAAGTCCTGTTCTAAAACACTGAGTCCCATAAAAAAAAGGTTTTAAATTTATACTTGGAAACTGTTTAAAGTAAACATATTGAAACTTGAATAGAGCTATCTATTGAGTTATTATCAAGTATGTAGGATGTTCTATTTAAAAAAATTGGACTTTGCCTAATTTCTCGATATCGGGGCTGAATGGAAAAAAAACTAAGAGTCTATGGATTCTGCTTGGAAAAGTGTTTTTAGAAAGTTTTTACAGAAATCAATTATTTTCATAAACAAAAAAATTATGAAGCTTTCACAGTAGATATTGCTCAATATCGAGAAACGCCCTCATGAAGACTTCATGAAATTTCAGCCTCACAGGGGAAAAGGGTGTAGTGGTTCGGCACTTTAGTGCATTTCGCGCCATTGATTTAAATCAAACGACAAACCGGCGTAGGAACCGGAAGTGACGTTTGACATTTGGAGGGAACCTTGGATAGAGAACGAACGGGGTGAAAAAGTGAAGCGGCAGTGTGGGTTGGGAGCGTAGAGAGTAAGGGTGCCGGGCGGTACGATACTCGGGAATCCCAACCGATGGCGCTAGTCGAACAATCGTCGCAGCATGAAATTAAATTTGGAACAAGAATCAGGAGGCCATTGTTGGACATAAACGCAAAAAATATTACAGAAGACCAACGTATTCAGGTCAGTATCTGAACTTCAATTCAGACCACTGCCAAGCTACCAAACATCGTCTCGTTATAGACAGGGTAGAAAACAGGAAAACGTTAATATTAGAAAATATCTCACTGCCGACAGATATTTTTAAAAGCTGATATGTGAAATCCAGGCAAGGGAAAAAAACTTAACAAGGAAAAATGAGCAGAACAGGGCCTTAAACTTAGGTAATATTTCATAGGTCTGGCAAAGAAATATCAAAAAATGACGTAAGAATAGAATAAAAAATCTAGAGGGCACGAAAAACCGTGTATACTATAAGTAGGCACCTTGCGAATAACTAATAATAAGTAAACAATAACAACGATAAGAAAATTATGAGAGACTACATAATATATTCAAGAACACGGCAATATTTAAAGGATATCATCAGTTTTCAGTGAAATATAATGGAAATCAATCCACCACGACTTTCTTAACATCGATGTACACCCTTTTTTGGGGAATAAAGCCCTTTTCAGTATACGAGCTCAACGTCTCAAGAAAATTGGCATTCTCTCGAAAACGATCGAATATACACGTGTATCAAAACTTTGTGAAAAAAATTGAAGACAAGATAATAGAACTTCAAACTTTTTTAATTTAAATATTGAGTACCCATGGTTACTGAATCGAATATTGACAAAAATTTGCGTAAAATTTATTTAAAATGTCCGTTATCCAAGAATCAAAATTGAATAAAAAGAGAACCTGAAAGAAACCCATATTTATGGGTTCTCTAAGACTTACACAAATATTTCCTAGAAAAATTTGGCAGTAGGAAAAAACTTTCAACTCGGACAGTCTGATGATTCTATTACAATAATTATTAAATCTAAGCAAGGTAGAAACAACCAAGAAGAGGTACCTGCTGAAGAAGTTTTGAAAAAATGGTGCAACATTCCATCGCGTCTAAGCCCTAATCTCCTAGAAAGAGTTGGTAGCTGAATGTAAATATAATATCTCTCTGTCGTACATATTTAATACCTACTCGATATGCAACAGCTGCTGCTAAAATTTTATCAAATATAATAGAAAGTTCTGGTGCGTCAGACGCTACGCTAATACGGTACCGCTAACAATACGGTATTTTACATGGTAATTTATAGTTCTCGGGCACGAAGACACATAAATCCTCTAATCCCTTATTCTGTTTACATTTTGACAGCTGAGTTGTGTAATCTAACCCCACTTCTTTTGCTTGTTTTCTAACTTTTGTCATAGCTTTTGTTTATTCTGAAGATTCCTGAGCTTGATTAATTTTTCCTTGGTGTTTTTTATGGAGGAATTAATAGAAGTTGCTGTTTTTGAAGACATAAATGAAGCGTAAACTAGTTTTGACCACTGATCTAAAAAATAAATGGATAAACAATCATACGGCTTGATTGGCAAAATTTGTGCGAAAATTTGGGGTCAATATTCTACGAACAATTGTGCAACGGAACAGCCTAACGCCTGCGCAGTGTCTTATCTTTCGAACAACTGTTCTAAATTTTGAAATTCCTTCGTTTTCATTGGCCAGATTTTGTGCACGCTCACAGCTGTACCAGTCAGTTGTTTTTGTTTACATAATAACCTCGTAAACTAGCAGCATTAGAAGCGTTCTTTGTTTATCCATTTATTTTTGAGATCAGTGGTTTTGACATATAGCGTCACGGTAAGGCATCCGGTAAGTTCCGTTACGTAGCGGGCTCCGCTAACGCTAATACCGTAAGAACTGTCATTCTTGTCAAATAGCGTTACGTTATTTGAAATTTGGACGGCACGAGAACTCTCTAATATTTAGGATTCTTCTTAATATTCCTATCTTCTTTTTAATCGTATTTTTGCGTCAAAATATTCTAGGAAAAAACAGAAACTCTGAAAAAAAATACACAGAACAAAAATAATATATAGACTTTTCCCTAACTTCTTTTCCAGAATTTAAACAAGCTATCAGGGCAGAGATTAGAGATGGGGCTTTAAAAAGTTTTACGAACTTTTTCTGGAATGATAAACTTCTTGGTTTCTCATCAACTTTTTTGTATTTTTAGGTTTACATGGCGCCGAGTGCTACGTTATTCGGCGAAATAACAAATGAAGAGATAAAATTTAACAACTTTCGAATTTATGGAACGTGTCTTTTGCTTGTAATGGGCACGATAGTTTTTGTTGGAGTGAAATTTGTTAATAAGTTTGCTGCGGTGGCACTGGCCTGTGTACTTTTATCTATCGTCGCTGTTTATGTTGGCATATTCATGAATTTTCATGGAAGCGAAGCATTATAGTGAGTAATTCTTCTATTTCATTTAATGATATTATCAATGTTTTGAGAGCAGATTCCTCACATCAAAATAAGAAAAGTAATTATATGTATGTGCATGTTTAAGACTGGAACATACCTAAGCGTAGGAACAATTCATGTACTACTTAATGGCTTGGCTAGGGAACAGTTTTGAACTTGTTTAGATAAGCTTTTTTATTTCATCATGTGAGATCTGTCTCCAAAAAAAATTTACATTGACCAAGCCAAAATTATGAAACTATACATTTAAACTATTTTTAGTATGTGCAAACTAGGAAATCGAGTATTGAGTCTGGATTCAGTGGAATATTGTACAAAAAACAATACTCTACCACTCTATAAACAATTTTGTCCAAATAATACATGTGACAGTTATTGGTCCAGTCACGACCTCACCTTAGATAAGGGCATAAAAGGACTTGCATCTGGGGTCTTTTTTGGTAAATTTCTAATAAAAACATAGAAATTATTCGTTTGAAAATCGACTTTTCTAGAAAACATTCATCATAGTTTCTTGGAACAAGGACAATTTTTAGCAAAAGGAAACTTACCAGAAGATGTTGAAAATTTAGCATCCCAAAATTATGCCCAAATAGTGAATGACATTACAACAAGTTTCACAATCTTAATAGGTATTTTCTTCCCGTCTGTAACTGGTATTATGGCAGGATCAAATAGATCTGGGGATCTCAAAGATGCGCAAAAATCCATACCTATTGGTACTATATGCGCTATTTTGACTACCTCCACTGTATATTTGTCCTCAGTACTCTTATTTGCTGGTACTGTTGATAATTTACTTTTGAGAGATAAGTACGTACAATACGTAATATTTTTGTGTACTATATAGTTAATTGCTATTTATCTATTTTAGATTTGGAAGTTCTATAGGAGGCAGATTAGTTGTAGCAAACATCGCTTGGCCCAACCAATGGGTCATACTTATTGGCTCTTTCTTATCCACTCTAGGTGCTGGTCTACAGTCCCTCACCGGTGCACCTAGATTATTACAGGCTATTGCTAAAGACGAGATTATTCCTTTCCTAGCACCATTTTCCGTATCTTCCTCCCGTGGCGAACCAACTAGAGCATTGATACTGACCTTACTTATTTGTGAATGCGGAATTTTATTAGGCAACGTTGATATTCTTGCTCCTTTACTATCGATGTTCTTCTTGATGTGCTACGGTTTCGTCAATCTTGCCTGTGCATTACAAACCTTACTTAGAACTCCAAATTGGAGGCCACGTTTCAAATTCTACCATTGGATACTTTCCTTTTTTGGAATGTCTTTGTGTATTGCGGTTATGTTCATGACCTCATGGTATTTGGCACTACTTGCGATGGGTATGGCAGGAGTGATTTATAAATACATCGAGTATAGAGGGTAAGAAACAAAAATATATAGATATAATATAGAATGGAAAGTTTTATTTTATACGTTCAACTCTAGGGCAGAAAAAGAATGGGGTGATGGAATACGAGGTCTGGCACTTTCGGCAGCAAGATTTTCATTGCTCCGTCTCGAAGAAGGACCGCCGCATACTAAAAATTGGCGCCCCCAAATTTTGCTTCTAGCTAAATTGAATTCTGATTTGGAATTGGAACATAGAAAATACATTTCTCTGGTTTCGCAGCTGAAGGCTGGCAAAGGTTTAACCATTTGCGCTTCAGTTATTGGCGGAGACTACACTGAAAAAGCTGTGGAAGCAACTAAAGCTAAAAATACTTTAAAAAGTATCATGGAAAAGGAACGTGTAAAAGGATTTGCGGAAATACTTGTTGCTAAGGAAGTATCAGAGGGATTGTGTAATTTGTAAGTAAAAATTATTTCAGATGTATCCGGTTATAGCTTAAGATATATGGAATTCCCACAAAATAAGTTCTGGGTTCACCGTTTTTATCAACATTTTAGGGTCCAAACATCAGGCTTGGGTGGTTTAAAACCAAACACAGTTATTTTAAGTTGGCCTTATGGTTGGAGAGAAGACGCAGATGAAGAACAAGCTTTTGAACGTACTGTTCGTACCTTGACAGCCGCCAAAATGGCTCTACTTATTCCCAGAGGTATTGACTTTTACCCTGACAATACTCAGAAAGTCAACGGTAACATTGACATTTGGTGGATTGTGCATGATGGAGGCTTGTTGATGTTGATTCCGTTCCTATTGAAACAGCACCGTACATGGAAGAACTGCAAACTTCGCATTTTCACTGTGGCACAGTTCAATGACAATTCGATTCAAATGAAAAAAGACTTGAAAAAGTTTTTATATCAGTTGAGAATTGAAGCTGATGTGGAGGTTGTTGAAATGGTAAGTTGCTATACAATATTAAAACGGTTCCAATATGCATTTTGGCTTGCAATTTAGTCTTCGATCTAGGATATCTTGTACCTAATGCCGGTTGGATACCCAAAAATAAAAAATATATTTATATGTACTGGGTGTCCACTAAGTGGGATATCGGACACAGGACTGTGACTGTCTTCTCCTGAGGTAGCTTTAGCAACTTGTTTTTGGCCTTTTCTTGGAATGATTTTGCCTGGTTTGTGGACAGTCTGAACCCCGGTTTCATCACAGTTATACAGGGTATACCATTTAACAGGAAACAGTCTAAATATCTGATGTCACTTTTATTCTTGAAAAAATCGCTCGTACACGTAATTTGATTGTGTGAGTGTTTGAAACATTTTTAGCACTAACTTAAACCTCTAGGAAAGGGGGTGGGACCAACCCTCACCATTCCAAATGGAACAGGGGGTTGAGTGATACCTGTTTTAAAAGAGCATTCAGTTTTCTTCCACATTATATCAAATGAAAGAGAATTAAATGCACTTTTAAAAGAGGTATCATTCGACCCCTTGTTCCATTAAAAATAGTAAGGTTTGGTCCCATACCGCCTAGAGGGTTAAAGTTGAAGTGCTAAAAATGGTTGCAGAAAACTTCCTCCTTTGAAAATCAAGTAACGTGTACGAGCGATTTTTTCAAAAATAAAGGTGGCATCAGATATTTAGCCTGTTTCGTTTCAAATGGTACACCCCTCTTATATTTATTTCGATAATCTGTTATTTTGAAGCCTTAAATTTCTGATCTTTGCGAACCTTGTATTGACCTGGACTTCATATATAGCTACATAACTTTACTTTGTTTTGAGTTGCTGGTTAATAACTTATATTAAACTTTCGAGATGTTCGCGATCATGTTCATTTTGTGAAAATGTAGAGCAAATTCAAAAGCTACTTCTAAGTTATCTTGCCTCGAGAATATATATTTTTTTCTTATAGTCTGATAAGGATATATCAGCGTATGCTTATGAAAGAACATTGGTAATGGAACAGCGTACACAAATGTTAAGAGAACTTCAACTGAACAAAAAGGAGAGTATGGGAATGGTAAGTCAAAAATTTATGTTAAAACTATTCAAAAAATCCGTGGTGACTAAAATAGATATTTTTCCTAATTTTGTTGACAAAATTTAAAAATATCATCTATTTGTTTAATTTGACTTGAACTATTTTTATAAGAAGCTTGCATATGGTGGATTAGAAGAGAACCTGCCTCTGGTAAACAGAAATCATGATCGTGCTTACTTTTTACATCAATTTTCATTTGGTTTATCAGTATTCTATTATGTTATTCATCCTCTCATCGAAATATCATATCAATTAGAAATTCATTTGCTCAATCCTGTGTATTGTGTAATATGTATTCAGGGATGCCGCAAATATTGCTTTGTGCTTTAAGTGTATATATGGCGTAAGGAGAGAGGAAATAGGTACTTATTCGCCTAAGCATTTTATACTGTGGCACCTATAACCAAATTAATTGTTGAATTTTAAGTATAAAAATACTATTCGCCTAGCAAATTTGCATTGTTCGATTTCTGCATTAGTCATTTGACAAATGCCTGGAGGTAAATAATTTCAGTCCTAATAGGCAATTAGCAAATCTAAATTCAAACCGAATGCCATTTTGTTGTTTAATTAGGCAATAATCATTTACCACTGCGTTGCTTATTGAATGAGAGACATAGTGAGATTATTAGAAAGAGTAGACGAAAGCTTCACGTGGAAAAGTTTATTAGATTATACTCATACCAATACTAAACGATTTAACAAATAATAAAATATTTAGGTTCCTTAATTCCATGAAGTATCTAATCCATTTGTTTATGTTGTAAATAATTTCTAATACTTAGATACATTTTTTTGCCTAACCAATGTAGCTCAGCATTTATCAAATAATTGATGCCGAAATTGGAAAATCGAAAATCCCTATGCAAATAACCAAGATTTTGTAAGTTTTTAGGTATTTTGTAATATGCCATTGCTTTTAGCAAATGCCTAGGGAATATTTGCCTATTTGCCCAAACTTGCTTTCTTTAAGCCTACATCTCCATATTAATCGAATATTTACAATAATAATTAATTTTTCTTGAACTGTATATATATTTAAAAAAAGGAAAAACTATAAATATAAATTTGTCCCAGATATTAGCGGCAACCTCATGTTTAAATATTTTTTTCCTGGGTCTTTATTTCATTATTTGTAATCTGTATAAATATGTAATGGTTTTGAATATTAACAAGGGGTATTGGATTAAATTTATAGAAATATCGATTTTAGGTGCAATCTGTAGTAGATCAACATCATGCAGTTGAAAAAACACCCTCAAAAGTACGATTTCAGGATGCTTCTAAACCCAATGATAACCCGGATAATAAAACTGAAAACTCTTTAGAAGCTACTAATGAACCGACAAATGAGGTATTTTGGGCTGTTGTGTGCATGCCTTGTCTTGTTTTAACATTTGTTTACTTTCAATTGCCTCGAATCTAGGTACATTAAAACAATCATGATTTATTACAGCCAAATCTACTCAAAGAAGATTGTGAAAACAACACCAAGGAAAAAGAAGATGGAGTGTCGGAGAAAGAGTGTCTGAAAGAACACAATAATTTAAAAGAAGACGATTGTTTTTCCTTGTAAGTTAACACGATGCAAAAATTACATCAAATTACTAGATGTTCAATTACAGGGAAGCTGACACGCTTCGGCGATTACACACCGCGATGAGGCTCAATGAAACGATCCGGACTATGTCAAAAGATTCCCAGCTTGTCATTTTAAATTTGCCCAGTCCGCCAAAAACTCCCGTACCAGGGAAACAAACCTATTGTAAGTACCTGATCAATTATTTGTTTTCGCCAAGGTACTAACATAATAAAAATTGATTCATTGCTTGAAAGGAATAATAATCTAGAAACATCTAATAAGTATATGTATTAGAAAATAAAATGTATGGAAAATACTATTCCAGAGCGTTTTATGCTAAAATCGTTCATGGAAGAAGAAGTGCACCCAGCAGGTGTGGAAAGTATTCTATATCTAGCACTCTCTCCACTTGCTCAGTAGATTTTTTGGTAACTGTTGGTCATAGTCTACAAGCCTAAGCTTCATATTGAAAGAATATTTTTAATACACCGAAGACCACACCAGAATACCATAAGAATGCAATTTTAGGTGCTTTTCGAATCATTTCAGGAAAAACAGTATAGTGAAAATTAATTTCCTTATCAGATTCATTCTCCACTTCTTCGCCATCATTAAAAAGCCGACACTCTACCTACGCTAGTGGGAATTCTATAAATTTTTCAACCAATCATCATTCATTGAGTTTTTTTACTAATTTTATTTTGTGCCTCGAAAATAGAAACGATTTCTGAGTTCTTCCTTTGTTTTTATAACCATTTAGAAATTGAAAGCTTTACATTTGAATCAAATTTATATGCAGGCATTAAAAAAAAACATGGGTGCTACGGCTACCCAAGATGAAAGCAAAAAAAACTTTCTACTCCCTCTCATGCGTAAAGGAATAGATGCACTGACATACAGCAAGGAACTATCTCTAGTAGGATGGTTACATGTTCACAGCCAAGTTTTATGTCGTGACGTCATAGTCTGTCAGCTATGATCGCTAAAATGAAGAAGGTATCCTAAGTAAATACAATCAGGCTACTGGGTTAATACTCACGCTAAAATACGTCCAAAAGAGGTGCTATTCCTATAAATATGTCTCCGGAAATCTGGAATGCCTCCTTTATGAGATACAGAGGGTAATTTGGATTTAAGTTTTTTTTTATTTATGTCAAAAAAACAAAACCCTCGATTTCATTGACATTATTTTCATGTAACTAAAATAAGCTTGATTATTCCAGTGGCGTCCCGAACCCTTTGTTAATATAAAAAAGCACGTAAATATCCACATCACTGAAAAATTTCAATATTTTCCAGAACCTTGGGCATCATGGGTAGGTAATATTACATTTTTATATATTTTACTTAAGGAGCGAGAACAAAGACCTCGGAGTCAAAATTAACTTGCTATGCGTCAAAACTCTCGAGAGACGAGAGAACTCTCTTTTCTCTCGAATCTTCGAGACAAGACGAGCGAGAGCGTATTGCCCTGTCGCCTCTTCCTCCCAAGAAAAAAGCCGCCCCTGATTGAAAAACATTAAATTTGAGACTTCTCTAGAATCACTTATTTACTTGAATCACACGATAGAATTCCTGAATTAGTCCATGGAATTGGTACATTTCACCTTGCATGAAATGAGGTATTTCTGATTTTTTGATATGTTGTATCTGATGAAGGAAATGACAAATCCGAGTTTTCGACCACGAAAGCCTTCCGAATCATTGTTAAATATTACTAAAACCTCTAAATTTTCGCCCTTCTTTTAGTTTTTGTATATTTTGACGACCAAGGACTAATATTACGGCAAAAGTCGTTGAGTACAATTTTAAAATAAACAAAATTTAGAAGAAAAAAATGGGACTTATTTGGTCTTTGTAGGTGAATTAGTTTCTAAGATACAGCAATTTAAAGTTTTCCATAATTTCAAGAAATTTTATCTGATATAAATTATTCTCAGTATTCTCTGATATAAAGTAAAAGCTTAGGCCCTCGCAGATAGTTTGTTTAGAGCGGAAAGATTGCCTAAATGAACTTCCAGATAAAGTTGCGATTGATCAATCCGCCGACAAACTGCGTGAACCAGGAATAAGGTCGCGAGGCAGGTGCATGAGGAAACGCCTAGAAAGGCTGTAATGACCTTAACTATCATGACCTTTTCCCTTCTGGGACTGGAACACTTCTAATAAAGTAGACATAATGAGTATGCTATTATTTCCTATATCAGGCTTTTGAATTTTCTCTGTTTGGAGGTATTCTGGAGAAAACAATTCAAGAGCCGTGAATCGACAAACATTTAGACAAAAAAATTTGAGAATTGGAAAGCAGAAATTTATGGAAAATTGAGTAGATAAGTAAACTCAAGTATCTCTTGAATTTTCACTGTTTGGAGACACCCCAGCTTACCACAATGACCAGTGTGTCGTCAAAAGGACGTGCAATTTTGGACCACTCGGGGCCTGATACGACTTTTGTCCAAAATAGAACGTCGCACTGAAGACAAGTTTCTAGTCGACGACAGTTTAAGCGACGTCTTACTAACGTCCCTCCTCATTATGTCGCATCAGTTTCTCAATAGTTTATTAATAGTTGTTGTGTTTCAAATATTGATAATTTAGCGTTGTTATCTGTTATCGGTAGGTACCTAATATCAACATATTTTGGTAATTTAATTTAAAGTATAAAGCCTGAACTATTCTCCAATCTTGGAAGTCTTTTCGAGGTTTTAAGTTGGCCTTTTTGCTGTCAAGTTGATTTTTTCGACGTCTTAAATTGATAAAGCGAGTTCAAACTACCCCAAATTAGCCAGAAACAACTCTAACATCAGTTACATTTGAAAATTTCGATGAGAAAAAAAAATCCAAAAAGGAAATCTAATTTTTGCCTCTGGATATTTTTTAGAATCTTGACATGCTCATGAATAATTGCTCATATCTTTCATATTTGAGAAAATGGCCTACAATTATACATCATCAAAAAGAGTATTAAATTCTCCATAAGCCGTGCAAAATTAGTTACTGTCACTTGTGAAGTTTCTGAGATATTGAGCTTCAAAGTTGAAATTTAGTCGACATTCAAAAGGGGCCTTAGGAAAAAGTACCAAAAATTGAAAATTTTTATTTTTGAATTTTTCTCAATTCTTACTTGTCAAACCGATGGAGCGAGTCCAAATTAGTCAGAAACATTAGTTACATTTGGAAATTTCTATGAGAAAAAAAATCCAAAAAGAAATCCCATTTTTTGGTACCTATGGAAATTTTTTAAAATCATGAATAATTGCTCATATCTTCAATAAAATTTGGAAAACTTGATTACAGTTATAAACCATTGGAAAGAGTACTACATTCTCTATAAGCCCTGCAAAATTGGTATTTGTAACTTGTGAAGATTCCGAGATATCGAACTTCAAAGTTGAAATTTAGTCGACATTTTATCCAAAACTTCAAACTCTATTTTCTCAAAAACCGAAAACGATAGAGATTTCAGTGAAGTTTCATTTTGAAGCACTATTTTAGAGCTACAATTAAAGGTGCTTTTGTCCTGGTAACGCTTTTGGTTACCGAGATATTCAGGTTTGAAGATTTGCAAATTAAAATTCAAAGGAAAAAGAAAAAAGTACCAAAAACTGAAAATTGTTATTTTTGGATTTTTCTCTATTCTGACTTTTTAAATCGATAAAGCGAGTTCAAATTAGTCAGAAACAACTCGAACATCAGTAACATTTAAAAATTTTGATGAGAAAAAAAAATCCAAAAAAGAAATCTAATTTTTGGCTCTGGACATTTTTTGGAATCTTGACATTCTTGACATGAATAATTGCTTATATTATTATTATTATCAATGATATTTGAGAAAATTGTCACAAATATGCATCATTAAAAAGAGTAATAAATTCTCTATAAGCCCTGCAAAATTGGTTTTTGTTACTTGTGAAGTTTCCGGGATATTGAGCTTCAAAGTTAAAATTTGGTCGACATTTTGTTCAAAACTTCAAACTCGATTTTCTCGAAAACCTTAAACGATAGAGAGTTCAGTGAAGTAGAGTATGTACTACTATTACTACTACTACGACTACTACTACTCAAAGATAGTCAAAATTACTAGTTTTTAAAATGTCCTTTCTTTTAAACACCGATATCTCAAAAACTAATCGTTCAATTTAAGATTTTGCATTAGGACTGTAAAGGGAAAGCAACGAGCTATCTAACGATGTACAACACTAGGTAGGTTCGTATTTGAAAAAAATACGTTAGGGTAGCTATCCCCTAAGGGGGGAGGCGTACTGAACAGTGATGTAAAATTCCCGAAACATTCAAAAGCCGCGAACATTCTCGGAAACTTTCTGGGAGTATTGGAAACTTTCGGGAACTTATGGAAATATTGTTTTTTCTTTTTTCAATTTATAGCTAAATCAGACAAATCGTAATAAGCTTTATTTACCTATTATTATAGTGTACTGACTATAGACTATAAACCGAGAAAAACGCCTATTTTTTGCTGTAAGATCAGCTAAAAATTAAACTATGTAGTAAAAACACTTGTATGGACGGTTGAATAAGGCTTTAAAGGAAAAGCTGATCTGATTAACCCAATCTCTCAGCTCTTTAGTTTCTATCTTTCTTCAATGAAGATTATTTAAAAAAAAGACAAACTGTAGGCTGTAGGTACATCAGTTGGTGATCGGGTAAATTGGATCAACGTTTCCGTAAAGACAGTTGGACTGGGCTACGTCATCCACATAAAGTGGAATGACATCACTGAGACCTTGTATTCGCAATAATCTCGCATTTTTATAAAATTCTTCTGGAAAGTTCTTGGAAATATTCTCGAAAGTTCTCGGAAATATTCTTTTGAGAGTTTTTGATTGAAAGTTTCCGGGAATATTCTCATTCAGGAGAACGTTTCCATTTTTAATCGGCGAATATTCTCGGAAATTTCCCAATGTTCGCGAATATTCGCATGGGAATATTCTCGACTCACATCACTAGTACTGACCAAAAAGTGCTTCATTTTGGTTCCGCCTCCAATTCCCTGATACGTATTTGAGATCCTTCTGACAGTATTTTTTGTCTAAAAGATATTCCCGATTGCTACTTTTCAAATTGTTACCCTGTATGTCCGACGTGGCCTGAATGGAAACATCACTGTCGGGCAGTTAGGCCCGACGCGGCATGCAATGTGTGAACGGTAAAAATATCATATATAATAATAAGAAGAACTAATTTTCCAACAAACGACACTTATTTGGTTTTTTAGACCTAATAGTTCTTGGGGTACAGCTGTCCAAAGTTGATGAGGTAAGTGAATAAATATTTTGAAAAGGGTTTGTGAAATAAACTACGACTGCTAACGAAATGAGCATTATAAATTATTCAAAAAACTATTGTAGCAAACATAAAATTATGATTTGATTTTCTTTTCTTTTTTGTAATATGAAATAGGTACTTCATTGTATACATATTATGTCCGTTTTTTGAGGGAAACCGTTGGGATATAGAAAACGGTAAGAGATACACATGCGCTTAAATTAAGGCAAAATTGTACAATTTCTTAACAAAACGCCACATCAAAATTTGAGATATTCCGAATATTTTCGGATTTAGTGAAAATAGTGGATTGGAAAGAGATAGGGTAGATGGTTGTGCATTCAACGCGTTATTTTCCATAAAAAAAATATTTATCAATGGCCAAATGTGTTACTGTTTTTAGGGGATCAAAAAGCTTCGAATACAATTTTAAAAAAGCAAGCCTGTACCTAAAAAAATAAAGTTGATGATGATCGGCCAAAGACGAAATGTCGAATTTCAAATTTGGCTACACCATTGTGTAGAGGGAAGAAAGTTGCCTCTATAAAGTGAAGTTTATTTCGAAATATCTCTCCATAGGCGCCCAGGAAAAAATGAAACGAAAACTCCATTTTTTTTTTTGAAATTATGCAAAACTTCAAATTGCTTTATCTTAGAAACTGGTAATTGTTAATCTGGTTTTTTTAAAACTTTGTTGGCTTTAAAATTGTACATAACGACTTTTACCGTAACATTAGTCCTTGGCGGTCAAAATTGACAAAAAGTGAAAAAAGGGTGAAAATTTAGTGCGCGGTTTTAGTAATATTTAACAATGATCCGGAAGGCTTTCGAGGTGGAAAACTCGAACATATCAAAAAATCAGAAATACCTCATTTCATGCAGGGCAACACCTCTTTTCAAGTACGATTTCCATGAACTAAATAAATAGGTACTCGCGCTCGGTCATAAACCTAAACAATCTCGCTGGCATCTTGGCATCGTTGCAGTTTCGTGACAAAATTTTGCGACAGACCTTGTTATTTATTTTTACATTTGACTTATTAGTGCAAACACCTACATATTTTGCATTAAAAGATAAAATAGCTAAATGAAAAAATAAGATGGTAAAATAAAACTGAAAAATGTAGATACTTTATAATGAATCCTGGAGGTTATTGAAAGACGATACTTTAAATGAGACATTTTGTTAGAACCTATTTTGTCTCAATTTAATCTGAATTTGTACCTCTCTACAGATCTTTTCATAACAATTAGTCTCTATTATAGTAGATTGTATCCGATAATAATGTTACATTGAATTTGACAGAGTCTAAGGGTGCCGTTATATTATAAAGGTAGCTAAAAGAACTTGAAAAGTGAATAATCTAACGTCCTCTAAAGAAGTACAATTTTTATTAATATATGTTTCATGTAGTGTGTTAACATTTTCTAATATTCTATTTTTCTTTAAGATTTGGACTTTTTGGAAGTACTTTCGGAAGGAATGGAAAAAGTTCTAATGGTGAGAGGTGGAGGACAAGAGGTGATCACCATTTACTCATAATCTTCAAATCACCAATTTTATCGGTGATGATAGCCAAAATGGTATTATTATTAAAATTATATTAATCAAAGAGAACATTAAATTTAAAGCTAAAACTAAGCCCTAAGGCATTAATTAATGGGTTCTCAGTGATAAGTTAAATGCAGTATTTTATTCTAGGAAAATTAATAGAAAAGCTTGGTTTCTCAATATCGAAATGTCCGCTTAACAAAAGATAATAACAATAGGCATCGAAAAAATTGCATTTCAACGGTCTAAAAATATTCGGAATATGCATTATAATCTAGATAATCGAGGCGATGCTTTTCGAAATAAATTGCCTAGTTAATTACTATTTTACTTTTTAACTTTACTTTTAAGTTTGACTTTTTTACGTATCTATGTAAATGTTTGATCTGAGAACCCAATAGTATTTTTCAAATTATAGTAGATATAAAATAGGGATTCACTTGAAAAAAAAATAGTGATGTCTGTACTTAACTAAAGAAATTTATTCCTCTATATTTCGAAATTCGACCGTCGCCATGGATCGGATTTCGTCGTGATCATCTGTTATTCCCATTAACTGTTTTTAATCAAAATGACAATGTTCCATGAAGTGCTCATTTTTCTACGTCAAGTATACCGGTATAGCGATTAGTGAGTTTATCGGTACAATTTCTTTGCTCATATTCCAATTAGAAATTAGTTGGAAGTTTCGAACTATAGACAATGTCATCATTTTATTTCTTCAGATTGAAGCACATTTTCTTATGGGATGTAGAATATCATAGAACTCTTTTATATTACAAAAAAAACAAAACTACGTTCTACTGTCTAGTTAATTAAGATATTGATACTTTATGACGTTTCAACCCATTAACGCCTTTACATTTCAATATAGGTCTATTATGTGACCAGAAATGATCTCACCTCCAACATATATTTTAAATAATAAAGAATATTTTATACAAATGTAATCATAAAGTGTCAATTCTGATATAAAAAGTAAATTAATTTCGACAAAAAAAAAGTCAAAGGCGAAACTTATAGCCAAATAACTTTTCGTATTTAGAAGAATATAATATATTATTAGCACGTATAGATGAAAAATGTCTTGAAAAATGTAATACACACAAAGATATCTTGTTAATTTCTAGATGGTTCTGTACTATTTATTTGATATTTTATTTTTTTACATGAACTCTCCCGCCAACTTCTTTCTTCTCTCAATTTATCAAAGGAGACTTAATCAGGAAGTTTAATTTCAACAATACGTATCCTTATCAAGGACCAATTTCTTCATTATTAGTTAAAGTGTGTTTTTTGTTTGATCTTCCATTGAACTAGAAATTTGTTTTTGACATTTCAATCATCGTGTCTAATATTGAAAATTTACCTACCTATCTATAATAAAAAACAAAAATTTGAATGGATATATCAAATAAATAGAAAACCATTTTTCTCAACTGATATTCACTGGTCAAATATCTACATTTGCCATAATAGGATTTATTTTTATTCAATAAACATTAACTTGCATGCTTAAAATTTGTAAAAGTACTAATACACCATTTAATTTAAGATTTAGATGTAAAACTTAAAATAACCTCGTGAAAAAAGCAAATGTACTTAAATTATAAAGATTCGTAAGGAAAAATTTGAGCAATATTAAATTTATAATAATAATCAAGTATTTATCAAATTGTAAGTGATAGATTTATCGAGATACTAAAAAATAAATCGTACAATCTTATGGAGTTAGGTAAACTTTTCCCTGTCCTACCAATTTAGATTTATGCAGGGTGTCTCCAAGAAATCTAAAAACTAATACTTCCTATTCGACTCTATTTTTATAAAGTAATTTATAACCTCAAAATTTGGAATTATTTTTGGAAAAATGTCATATTTTCAATATCAAATGGAAACTTTATTTAAGTATATACTTACTTCTGAAAGAGAATCTCGAAAAGACTATGTTTATATAAAAATTGGTACTCCAGTCAGCTAATAAAGTACCTGATGTCCCTAATCAAAAATTTCACTGGCGTCTGAAACAAAAACCTTTAAATATAATTCTTTCAAATTATCTACAGCTGATACAGCAACCATTGAGGTAATATGTCAATCAAAAGATTACATAATTAGTTTGAACAGTTTTTTTTTTTATGGATCAACGAATTTTTGATTAGGGATATTACTTTATTTGCTGACTGTACATACCTACATCATACAGATTTTTGATCACCATATTTAGTCTCTCGTACAGTGTTAGCATATTTTTGCCTCACGCTGTATATTATTTCTTTACGCAGACAACAGATAATACAGGGTATCCATAATACCATGTCGCACTATTTGACTATTGGCATCACAAAAATGGTAAGAGATACATGTTTGGTTTAATTAGAAAAAGGTTGAATTTTTTAATGATTACCCCAGTGTTGCCAAATAAGTTTTAGTTCTCGAGTTGGAGAAAACCTTAAAATTGCCCAAAACATATTTTTTCTCCGAATGACATTGAAAGCGGCTTCTTAATGACACTTGACAGGCTTGAAAGTTATTTTTTCACTGCCTAGTCAGAAAAAGGAAACTTTTCCTGCCTAGGCTGGTTTCCTACTCCAGTCACAATGAAATTAAATATTCAAGATACCAGAGTCCAAATTTTTTTTATTAGTTAGGTACCGTCATTTGGGGTGAAGTCGGACTGTGGGGGTGAACTCGGACAGACAGGTATTGGCCGGCGTTTTTTACGATATCGGGTATCGAGACACCCAAAAAATCCACCGACCAACATATTCCGCTTAGTTTAGCTCGAGTGTAGTTGAGAGTGGTGCATTTTTGCTGGAAAAATTCGCCGTAGAGCACGTGGTCAGAATTTTATAAATTTTATTGTTTTCTTAGAATTTGAAAACCAAAAAAGAAACTGTTGGGCACTAGGGAATATTGAAACTATGTACTTCAAATGAGCTATTATTTGTTATGTGCTCTATCATTAGTAAACCCATGGCAATTTGGTGAAAAAATATTTATTTTTTTTTCTTAAATAATGGCGTTTTAGTGAAAAAAGTCATTTTATAGGGGAAGGCGGACACTATGGTTAGGTGCTATAAGAAGAAAATCGGCATTAATTTCAAAAATTACAATGAAGAAAACGTCGCTAGAGCACTCGAAGATATTAGAGGAGGCAGAAAAAGTATAGACAAGCTGCTGAGTATTATGGGGTTCCCAAATCCACCTTACATGACAAGAAAAAGGGAATAAAAACGAAGAATCATGGCGTTTGCATGTTTGCATTTTTTTTACCTAAAATTTATAATATTTTGCTATAAATACCTATTTTTTTTTTTTTTTTTTGTCTGTCCGACTGCACCCCGTACTAGGGGCTAAGACACTTTGTTATGCTTAATTAATGGTCGTCCGCCTTTACCCCACACATAGGGGTGATGGCGGACACACAACTTACCTAAAAAAAAAGGGGGGGGGGATACAAATGTCATTACTTTTAGTAAGTAATTTGATAAAGGAGACATGGAAGATTCTTAATTATTTTTTTAGGATTTTTTTTCTTCTAATTGTAGATTTTATTAAAAAAAAACTGCAAAAATCGTCCGACTTCACACCAAATTACGGTACTTACTTCAATAGGATATTTAATATGCTACCCGACCATGGATCACATATTATGTAAATATGTGTTTTAACATTCCAGCGTAAAATTTTCATCATGAAGCATATTCTATTGAAAATAAGGACTCTGCGTTTTATTGGATCTTGGTAGTTTTTGCATTAAAAGTTCAGTTTGAGATAGGAGTTTTCATATTCCCTTTGCTTACATACAAAAATCAAAATATTGAAAGGTACCTATTTCACAAAAAAATTTAAGCTAAAGTTTCTTTGAATATTTTCTAGCATTATTGGTCCGACGGTGTCATTTTATTACAATACATACTTCTGGGACCTTTGTTATCAGGCATGACTTCGTTTGAAAACATCGCATATTAAAAAATCCATAGATGTGAGGCCCGGTGAGCGAGCGGTCCCATTATTGCCTATTTAAGAATCGGATTTAAATATATTCAAATATCGGGTGCATGGCCGATCTTGATGAGTTGGTGCACTAAGTAGTTGAAAACACAAAACTTTTACAACAACATACATATATATACTAGTATTTTATTCAAGCAGTAATATGTTAGCTTTTCAGAACTTTTTTCTATCTTTTAACAGACATCGTATCTTTCAGTGGTTTTGGGACATGGTATTTGGGACACCCTGAGTAACCTTGAAAATTTAATTATTGGCGTTACAACAAAATTTTCTCTTTGGAACACCCTGTGTAACTACAATTTTAATTACGCCCCCTCTGAAGCTGCAATGGCGAACAGCTGAAAATAAAAGGAGGATTTTTTTATTGTATTTTAAAGTAGGGTCAGCATACATGATTCAAAACATTCAATATAAACTGACATTGTGTACATACATTTCTAAACTTTTCTTTCAAATATATTTTTTTCGTACTTACACATCTTTGGACTAGATGAGTATATGGGGTGTTAGGGATTTTAAATTTCAGGATTTTTTCAAAATACATTTTCAAAAATTGAAGGATTCTTTGAAAATGTACTTTAACAATGCCCGAACGGGTCGTTTTTGGTTTTTGCTTTGTAGGACTTCAAAGAGAGAGAGCCACACGCTATTAAAGGTCTATTTCATTCTTATCGTGTGAATCTCCCGTTTCTCTAAGTTGACGTGCTTTCGCTTATGTTGCACTGAAGAGAGCTTACCAAGTTCGAAATCGGCCTGCAATTAGCGCCAGTACGCAATGATTGAGAATTCGAGTTACTCCATTGTCTTTTTAAGCAAAACCACAAGTTATTGCGCAAATCTGACCGTGTCAGAGCAATATAAACTCATAGTATAAGTAATTCAGTGTGTCGGAGCTTTGGTTAAACACTAGTGTTTTTCCAAAGATATTTTTCAACAAATATATTTCAAATTTTCCAGATCTTAATTAATATCACTACCTCGGCAAAAATTATCAAACCTGCCGGATGTTTCTCTGAATATCGGGTTGTAAACTCATCCTGTTTAAGGCTTTTCTCTAAATGACCAATATTGTCAGTTAGTAATATATTTATATTTAAACGGCTTAACACCCTGTATATTCGAAATATCATCAGAAATAACAGAGATAAAGTATGTTGAATGAAATTGGTATAAAATAGCTCAACTTATATCAGCGCGTGACTATAATAAGTAAATATAGCTATACAATCCATTTTTGAAGGGAACCAATCATGTTACATATGCATCAAGAACTTTATTAGTGTGTAATCAAGGATAAAGAGTAAAAACTTTGTGCAGGCACAATTTGAACTATAAAAGAAAAACTTGCTTACTGTCCTAGAAGCTTCAAGAAATCCTTTAGAATGCATTCAGTTACAATTGAAAAAAATTTTTTTTCAAAGTACAACAATCGTGAAAATTATCTTTCAACATTCGGCAATTACAGCAGATGCAAGATTTGGAGGATTCATCCAAGCTACCTAGAAGGGCCAAAAATAATGTCTGGTTTAACTAAGTTCTCATATACAGGACGCCTAAGAGTCAAATATTTCTCTTCTGTTAAAGGGGGTTATAATTCTCTTTCCCGAAATTTATTTTCAAACGCCCACTTTTTCACGAATCTGCATATCTATTTCGGGAATTTGTATTTTCTCCAGACCATATCCTTGCATTTGGTTTAATATCTGTTCCAATTTTGCTGAAGGTAACTTTCACCATGCACAATTGCCACACTGCTGTCTTGTGAAGCTTGCTGCTGCGAAATTATCGACAGTTCCTTGATCCGAATTACCCCTCAAAGTGCATCACACCACTTTGATTGCCTCGTTTATGGTGTAAATGGGTATTTTTCTAAATAAAACGCACAATAAAGTTTAAAATGTGTAGAGATTTAATCAAATTGAATGCATTCTCTTGGACTTCAAATTGTTCCTGCAATTCAAGTTTTTACCATTCAAAAACCTTAAATTAGAAGGTTGAAATAACATGTAAAACCCAATGGCCTCTTCCAAGAAAATGCTTTATAAAGCTTGGGCTATGCAATTCTCTTATCATAGGCGCTATATGTACCACTGTCGTTTCAAAACTATTGTCATCTAGTTGTGAGAAATGATAATGTTTTCTTTGAAATGGCAACATTCACTTGACTGAACCCTAATTTATTATACTGAATCCAAATACACAATCATTCCCTTTCAACCAATTTTGCCAATAGGGAAATACCTATATTTGTTGATACCGTATCGTGTAGGTAATGAGGTATTAATATGATCTAGTATCCGATTTATAACAAATTAGGGCGAAATGCCCCCATTTTTAGCACATCAACTTGGAACATAAGCTTATGATACCTCTATTTTCTCACACTTATATTAGTTTCATAGGCACCTATATTAATATCAGCGTTTCTCAACCTGTGTTTCCGCATTAAGAAATGGGTTATTGAAATAAATCAGGTTTCAAAAAAAGCCGTTAAAAACCAGGCCTGATTAAAACTGATACTAAAACTCTGATCGCAAATATAAAATACTCGAAGGTTGAGAAACGCTGGAGTAAGAAATAGGTAAGGCAGCAACAAGCAGTCCTAATTAGATGGAAAATAGAAGATGTATAAGCTTAGTTAAAAAAACTATTGGCTGTGGTTGGTAAAACAAAAAAAAAAAAAAAAACGAGTGTTAGTTTTAGATTTCTTCATTAAGAAACAAACATTAGCAATGCTAAATGAAATTGTTGGGCCTAAATTGAATAAAACTAAACATTTTAATATGTTTGACAGCAAAGGACGTTATCAATATGTCTTTAAATCAACATGTATTTATTTTTTGATTAAATGAAGAAAATAAAGTTCGAATATTTGCAATGTATCAATTCTCATTCGAAAGTAGGTATTCAGGATTACGCTCACTAATGCAAAAGTTATGGTCATGTACCTACACTATGGACAGATTTTGCAATCACAGCAACTTAATATTATCTCGTCATCTTGCAGTCACATTCTAAGGAATTTCATTCTTTTTTAGCATAGCTAATGTATACATTTCTTGATAGAATCATTAAACACCCTTTTACCTAAAGCCACCCTATGTTACGTCTAAAAATGCTCTTCTGTGCCAGTTAAAAGATAATAGGTAAATTGTATGTCCTATGAAAAAAGTCGCTAGCCATTTGTACCTACTACCACCTATCCATTGGTTATTTCTAAGACAAGCAAATGTAAAAATGTTACAATAATTACTTGAGTGGGTAGGTACTTATACCTGCCCCTCCAATTTAACATTGACAATTTCACAAACACGAAAGACAAAATTGTTTGAATACTTCATCTCATACCTAATGATTTCAAGGCATAGTGAAAAACTGATCGCTAGGCTCCTAAAGATACGTTTGAACATCAAAGGTTCAAATAATCAATTTCGGACAATCAAGTTTCAAGATATGTGGAAATTATTTGGTAGTGAATAAGTCGCAAATATAATTTAGATTGGAGCAGATATCTACTTATTTGTATAAGTAATCTTCGATAAAAAATGTGAAAAATTAGATTTCTTAAAAGCATTGGCATACCTTCATACTAATTTGGCATAACCTTCAATTCGCTAATCCAAAATATCAGTTCAGCTTCATTCTTCAATGTATTTTAGCATTAATCCACGTCCAGAATTCCTAACAGCGTCTCAACAACGTCTATTGAACTAAATTTGTTGTTATTAACACCAGGTAGATAGGTACCTACTGACCTAATGCTAATAACTATGCTAACTATTGTTTAGAAGTAAAATATAGGGTGGCTAATGTACTAGATGTCAGAATTATTTGAATTATTTCTATCCAGAAATAAATAGATACTTAAATGTGATTTAACAAAATCATTTGTTGGTCTGAAAAAAAAGTAAAAGTAAGATACTTTCAAATTTAGTAGGTAATATATAATACTTATGTAAAATAGTGATCAAAAAAAATAGCCTTAACTACACTAAATTATACATACTTTACATAATGTGCCAACTTTTATGGTTTTTACCAAAATTATATTTCTAGCTACAGATATCTATTTATAAGTCATAAACTGGCAATTTTTTTAACAATATTTTTTATGTTGTATTTAAAATTAATGATATTTTTCAGAGGCAATGAGAAATAATTAATATTTCCGTAAAATAATCAAACGTCTAAGCTGGCTTACAAAGAAATAAAAGTTCCCGTTCGTAAAAAGTGATGCATCAAGATTTAAATTTGGATAATGACCAAACAAAGTCTCCATTGGAGTCTGAAGGAATAATTATATGGGGTGGCATATGAACAAACTATGTCAAATTTTCAACATTCTCCCTCGACCGAATTCCTTTAATTTCGAGCGGATACAGAAGATGTACTGGCCGACTCATACATATGTCCTCTGTCGTATGCATGGTCTATATTAATCATGGAGCAGTTCTACATCCCCATCTTCAAACTGCAACCTTTCATCTGTTTACCATAATGATCTAAACGTAGTTGCTGTAAGTAGTCCTGGCTTCATCCCTTCCAAAATTTGGAAACTATTCTCTATCTGAGAAGCCACCCTTTGATCACTTCCTCTCGCTCTACCTTTGGAATGTTTCTAAAACCCAATGTTTTATTGCCCATTAAACACATGCCAATATTATTCGGAAACTGGGATCTTCCTCGATATAGGTCGGGGGTCTCTAATTAACAGTCACTTCGATTTCTGATAAAACAGTTTGCATTTCATCAAAGTTGACAAGTTTTCTGCCTAATGCTGATTTAAGGAAATTTTTCCTCTAACGAGCCTCTCTCAAAATCCTCCCCATCATGCAGCTCTCACAATGAACTTCCACTTAATGCGATGTGCTCGATCCAGGTCTTGAACTTGAGGTTCGCTTAAGATCCTCTGAACGTGATACAGGATACAGCTTTTCAGATACACGCTTAAAGGTTTCGGTTATCGGATTATATAACCTTTGCCTTCATTTGCCGATGAAACATAAAGAGGGCCCGAAAATTAACTCCCGTAAATTCGAATGCATGCGACAAGGTCACTCTATCTTTTGGCAATGGAGCAAAGGGCTGACTGCCTGATTTTCCCCTTGAACGCGTACATTGATTATACACATCCGCTGAAAACTGATTTTATTACCTATTATTGTCGACCCTTGATGATTCAAAATCTTTTTCTTGTCATAGCTAAAGTTGAATTAACACAACTATGAAGAACTTCATAATGCGCTTTATATCTTATTCTAGATGTCAAGCAAATTTTCGTGGTAAAATCACTGGATGTTTGTCTTCCTGGAATAGGTATGCTTCTTGCAAAGCTTTTGGTTATCAAACAGTATTTCGTAATAAAATGATTCCTACTGAATCGCTCACAACCAATATATTATTTCAGCCTCGATTACTTCACTTACTCTGAGTTATCATCCATATGTCCTTTAGTTTTTTTTTTAAAGTTATTTAAAAATCGCTTTACGTATTCCAAGTGTCTTATCAAGGCTACTTAATCGGTCAGGTGTCAACGTCGGCCAATGCTCTCACTCCTGTTCCAATCATGATGGTCCTGTAAGCCAAACTTTAGAGTCGATTAGAAAATTAACTGAAATTACGCATCTGGTAATTAAATCTGCTGGATTTTGCTTTCCAGCGCAGTATCTCCAGGATTCTCTACTTTGCAATTTACGATTTTTAACAACTGGGTTTGCACCTAGGGCTTCCACTTTATTGTATTTCCCTTGATCCAATATAAAGCGATTTAAGAATTGGACCAATGTATAACTCCTTTTACGTTCAAGGGCATATTTTCCGATAACGCCGCCGTTAGTTTTAATTTGGGCAACGTGTGTTTAATCATTGTTGATGACTGATGAGACTCTATTTCACGAAACAATAAATTTGCATTTACGAGTAGTCAGATGTTTTAGATGACCTGCACACCCATATGCCTGCAGCCTGAGGGCTGGCATCAGCAAAAACATTTATAGAACTGCATTTCGTCTGTGGGATTTGCGGTTGAACAGCGTTTTATTGAATGCACGCTTAGTAATGAAAGAGTCCTCTGTGCCCTGTGCCATTTTCTCCATTTTTTATCAGTATCTTCTGGTACCTAATGCGTCATATCCCAATCCAGAACTGCAAACACGTTTCTTTGTTCCATGAAACAAACAAAGGCTGCAAAATTTATTGAAACTGCAAACAAGAAACTGAATCAACAAAGCTAATGAAACAGTCGATGTTTCCTGAAACATTTTTTACCACGCTGGTAGGATCACCTACATCCTACATCAGCCAAAAAGATGCATGGGAAAAAAAATTCAACAAACAAATTACCTACATCAAAAAGCGATATTAATCTTTGAACATTTTTTCTAAATATCTGTTTGATTGTCCTTTGGCGCAAATTGGAATTGAATTATAAAGTTTGGTAAAAATCAAAGAAGTACCTAGCTACTACTTATTTAGTTTAAAGGTTACGCCATTACATCAACCAATTATGGCTGTTGGTGCCTCTGACTTTATGTGGCGGCGTGTTTAGAAAAAAAAAATATTTATTTTATGAATTTTTGCTCTAGATACTTAAGGAAATTTTGGTGTTTCAAGTTTACACGAAATGTTTCATTAATCCTCACAGAAAGCACATATACACTGTGGGCCAAAATTATTTGGAACCCAATTTGGCTCTGAATATATATTTTTTTTTAATTCGGCGGATTTTTGTGAAATTTTGTGTGAATAATAGGGAGGCCTTTCCTTAATTGTAAGAAAAATATCCAATGAAAATGTATAGGGAACAAAGTAAGAAGCAGTATTTTTAATCATTGCCTTTGGGGCTGTTGCAAAACTAATTTTTTTACTCTAAAACTACATAAATTATTTGAAAGTACAATATTAAGAAAATATCGGAGAATAGGCTATGAAAAAACGTTTCGAAAAACTTCAGGTTTTGTATTAAAAATGTATTTTTTACGAAAACATTGTCTAATAATACATATTACCATACATTATTATGTAGATATAACATAATTTCGAAAAAAATACGTTTTTAATCTGAAGTTTTTCGAAACACTTTTTCATAGCCTCTTCTCTGATATTTTCTTAATATTTTCAAATAATGTATGCAGTTTTAGAGTGAAAAAATTAATTTTGCAACTTCCCCAACGACAATGACAATGAAAAATACTGCTTCTTACTTGGCTCCCCCTGTACATTTTGATTAGATATTTTTCTACAAATTAGGAAAGGCCTCCCCTAATACTTACAAAAAATTTCACAAAAATCCGCCGAATTAAAAATAAATATATTCAGATCCAAATTAGGTTCCAAATAAATTTGGCCCACAGTGTATTATTCAAATAAGAGAAATAAGCCCTCTTAGATAGGGTTTTATAGTAGGTAGTAAATTTTGCTACCTATAGCGAATTATATCTATGAGATTTAATGAACCATTTTCCTCAATATGGATAGAGTAGAAATTAGATGTTTATGTTTGAACAGAGTTTATTACAGATTGGTTGTGGTGCCATATATTATTAGATAAATGTATAGTTACGTTGTTGTCCCAGGTTCTAGGTCCTACCTACCTAACTATAGTGGACTTTGTTATCTACTCTTTTTTCTTAATTTTACATTCTAGCCCATTTTGTAAATGGCAATCTGTTCTTTATTCCTATTACCTATATAAATTATTATTATTATTATTATTGACAATGTGTTCATTGGATAAAAATATAAGAAATAAAACCTATAACAGTAGAACTGTAATTTTTATTTCATCACTGCTTTTTCAGGTTCTTTTTTTTATTGTGATTCAGGTTTTATCCCAGTATTGCCATTATATGACACAGAACAAGGGATCAACAAAATAATGATCTGCAACTGAGATTAGCAACTGTCCAGGTTCGGTAACACTAGCAAGGTACCATCATATGATAAAAAGAACCTGATTTTCAAAACAGATGAGCTGCTGTACTTAAGCAAATAGCAGAGAGTAAGACTTTGCTACAGCTGCTTCCTTCGGTAATCAACATAATTTCCTCAAAGTCATTTTATGTTTTTATGTGCCTATATAGGTACAAAATAGCTAAGTTCGCGGTAAAGGTTCAGAACCAATTCTGAACGCTAAGGAAGCAATCACAATAAATAATTTTTGTTAGACTGTCACTTATTGCCATTTTCTATTGTGATTGGTGCCTTAGCGTTCAGAACTTGTTCTGAACCGTTACCGCAAACGAAACTATTATGACCTGTGATCAAAAGTCTGGAAACGGCTTTATTATCTCCAAAACCACAACTGTGGATTTAAAGAAGTGGGGAGTGGGGCGGAGTTTTGGTGGGAGTACTGCGACATGCCGAATTTTAAGATAGTGTCACGGCTGTTGATACTTAATTTTTTCAAATGGAATGCTAAATTTTTCAATGCTTTTTTGACTTTTTAAGATAAACTTTAATATTATAGGACGAAATAAGAAGAGAAAAATATGGGATTAGCAAAAGTTGCTCAAATCAATGTTGCCAAAAACTAAAATATTTCTTATCAGCTTGAGAGATCCTAAACATCAATCCTTTTTTCTTTCTGCCTGCTTGCACGTGAATGACCTCTTTTTTAAATTATTTATATTATTTCCATAACTGAACATTGGCTCAATATTGACGAGCCTGCGTGTTTGTCAAAAACTACACCACAATATCTAGGTATACTAGGAGTATACCTAATATCTCATGGAGGTACTGTAATAATGTCCACTGATAACAACTTTTCGGCAGTAACCAAGTTCGACAATTTATTATATGAAAAATTATTTTAATTTTCTATAGTCTACAACAATATCTACGACCTCTACATTGTTTGCGTTTACAGAACACCTGACGCTGACTTGGTTACATTTTTTCAAAATTTACTAAGCTTGCTCGAGTCCCTCCCTTTTAATAGTAAATTAATTTTATGTGACGACTTTATTATAGATTTTTCCAGTGTGTGTGCTGCTCAAGATGCTCTTCAGTCTATACATACTTGAATCATTTCATATAGTCATGCATGTTCAATCTCCAACCCGAATAACTAAAACCAGATCTAGCACTATCGACTACGTACCGTGTAATTTTTTGATCCAAGCTTCGTTGACTGTACTGCCTTTAGTTCAGGGTTTTCAGATCATGAAGCAGTATACTCACAAACTTTTCTCTAAAGAGCAATAGTAGGAATGCCTTCACGTTTCGCCGAATTTATTCGGAAAATAATTTCCTTAATTTTGAGCGCTTAGTCAAACAATTGACTGGGATTGCCTCTCTGATGATATCGATAGTGCATTTCCAACATTTTCAAATAAATTATCTGGTATGGCTTTCAAAGCATTTCCCCTCAGGCCTATCAAAAATAAGCAATATAAACCCTGGACTACTAAAGGCTTGCGGACATCGGCAAAGAACGCTCATTGTTACACCTAAAAAAAATTTCGGAGAATCTCTTCTTTCAAAATTATGTTAAACTCTATGGAAAAATTCATCATAAAAGTATAAAAGCCGCCAAAGACACCTATTATAACAACCGGTTCGCTAGAACCGAAAAGTGCCAAAGAAACGTGGTCTATTGTGAACGACTTTAGAAATAAGGCTATCTCGTCCAGTATAATCTCTACCTCCCCTGAGCTGAGAACCTAAACGATTACTATGTGAATGTGGCAAAAAATTTGATGACTGCTATAGCTCCTTCTCGCGATATGCTTTCATATCTTTCCAGTACCTACCAATTTGAATTTACCCAGTTTCTTCCTAAATCGGTGTTTACACTAGATGCAATGCAATTTTAAAAATGGTATGCAATCGGCTGCACATGCAATTTAACACCCGTAGAAACACCAGAGCTTTGCAGCATAAATTAAAGACATCAAAAACAAATTGTCATCTGGGACTGATGGAATTACTTCAAAAATGTCCTTTAATTTACCGGAACGTACATTAAATCTCCTCACTGCTTCAATAAATAGGTAAATCTTTTCAACAAGGAGTGTTTCCAGATTGCCTCAAGACGGCTATAATTATTATTCCTCTGCACAAGAGAGGTGGTGAGGACCAAGCGTCGAACCATCGTCCAATTGCACTTCTTCCCACTTTATCCAAAGTTATTGAAAGATTGGTTAAGAAAGGGCTTCTATCATGCTTGAACAATTTGCACTCCACAGCATCAATTTTTTGTGATTTTTCTAAAGCATTCGACTATGTAAGTCATAATATCATAATTAACAATTTGCAGCATTATGGAATTCGAGGCTCCCCTCTAGAATGGTACCTACAAGTCGTATCCAAACAACAGAAAACCAGCTTGTTGATACGATGATGTCTTCATGCAAGCCAATAGAATGTGGACTTCCACATGGTTCCGTGTTGGGTCCAATATCATTATTGCTGTTTATCAACGACATTGCTAGTCTAGACATAAGCGGTAAAATCTGTCTTTTTGCTGATCATACTAGTTTCACTTGGAGTAACCCGGATATTGTAGCTCTTCATAGAACCATGACCAACGACGTACTTGTTAGCCATTAAATCATGGTGCGACTCTAACCTACTCTGCTTCAACGCTGCGAAAACTAAAGTTCTGTGATAAAGGACTACGTTGCAACCTATCGTGCTCACTACTACTATTGACGTCGTTGAGCCTTATTATAGACAACTCCCTGAAATGGAACTCGCACATCGAAAATTAAGTTCCGCTTGTTTTGCGATAAGATCAGTTTTCAAGGACCTTACGTGTCAGTATCGTCTAACCAGTTTAGGAACTTTAGATATCAAAGTCTATGGGTATCAAATTTTTGTATTCAATTTGTCATTATAAAAAATAAACACATCCATTGGTCAAGTATTGTGTCATTTTAATTCTGTATGCATCTAGTTAACTTGAGGGGCCCGCAAGCCCAAGATCTCCTACTAGCTCTCGACGGCCCTGGGTCCAGGACCTAATGGAATACCTTCAACATTTCTTAAGAATTGTGCACTAGCTTTATCTTGACCCTTGTGGCTATTATATAATAAATCATTGTCTGTTGGAGTCTTCTCAACATACTGGAAACTATCTTTTGTATGTCCGATTTTTAAAAATTCTGGCAACAAGGAAGATGTTGAGAATTACTGCCCTATAACACCGTTATCTCATTTTCCAAAGATATTTGAATCACTGGTGAATGATTTTTTAACTGAAAAATTAAAAAATATAATCATTCCAGAACAGCATGGCTTTACCAGTGGCCGGTAGCGATTGTGTGGTACTAAATTGCTCATTAGAAAATGCTCTTTGGGAATATAGTAATGGACTATATCCTTGCCATTTGAAAAAATTGATTCAATTCCAAAAATGCACTTCTACTATTTTTAAATGAGTCTGTAGAGGATATAAAATACAAAATAAGATGAAAACAAATTTTTCCAGGTTCCTTGGAGCAATTCCAGGTTCCTTGAAGCAATTAATTCATGGCACTCTACATTTAGGAGTAAAAATTTAAATAATTTGGAAATGAAGTGTCAACAAGTGACAAATGAGGTGTCAATGTAATCGTAATGTGGTTTTCTATTAGAATGAGGAAAAATATACCTGGCGTCTCGTTTAAAATAAGAAAGTTAGGGTCACTTCCGGCCAAACCGGAAGTGATAATAAATAATTGAATAAGTCAAATAATGCACATCTGGGTCATAAATAAACACGCCAAATTTCATTTGTTTATTCGTAAAAATAAAAAAGTTATAGGGGTGAGCGGGTTTTGGAAAACACTCGGTATAGGATTTATATTGCTGGTAGCTCGGTTCTAAATGTGAAAGGGGTATTTAGGACTATTAGGTCAGTGGCAATAAAAGTTTTGCGTTTCTTGAGTGTTCATCCTATATTTAATGACTTCAGGAGAATACTATTATAAAAACAAAAACAGCTAATCAATTATGGAGTCGTACTTATAGAAAAAAAAGCAATACAAAATGAATAAATGTTCCAAACTAAAGGGCCCCATACACTACGATGAAACACGACGGTTTTCATCGCCGCGATGAAACACATCGTTCCAAAACCGAAGTATGTGGTATAAAAACACGATGGTTTTCGACCATCGTAATGGTTCATCGTAGTGTGTGGGGCCCTGCCATCACGGCGATGAAAACCGTCGTGTTTCATTGTAGTCTGTGGGGCCTTTAAGAGAAACATATACAATAACGTTTATCGTTGAAAGAACACAGTGATAAGCTCTTAATATTTATATTTGTGTTTTCAATGACTGGATAGTGTAAAGCACAATCTATCAATTTCCAATACTTTTTATGTATGAAGCAAGTTAAATCCAGTTAAGCGGAGTTATTATTATAAATGTTCAGACTATGTGACGTCCTCGATCATAGGTTTTGTTATTTCAACGACACAGTACATAAAGCGAGATTTAGAATGCAATGAAAAATAAACCAAATGACCACATAATCAACAAATAAACAATAAATAAATGGCTTACAAGCTTCAAAAACTACAAATAGGTAAACACTTATGTATTATTGTACAGTTTTGTTATAAAATTTTCACAATAATTAGCTGTTTCATGTCTATACTGTACATAATATAAACATAAAAAATAAAAAAACACTTACTAAGTTTAAAAATACTGACTTGACATTTGATGTAGTTGTATCATGTTAAGCTCGCTGATCTCAAAAATAAATGGATAAACAATCGTATGGCTTGATTGGCTAAACTTGTGCGAAAATTTGGGGTCAATATTCTACGAACAGTTGTGCAACGGAACAGCCTAACGCCTGCGCAGTGTCTTACTTCCGAACAACTGTTCTAAATTTTGAAATATCCTTCATTTTCATTGGCTACATTTTGCGCACGCACGGTACATGTATCTACTGCGCACGCTCACAGCTGTCCCAGTCAGTTGTTTTTGTTTACATTATGACCTCGTAAATTAGCAGCATTAGAAGTGTTATTCCTTGTTCATCCATTTATTTTTGAGATCAGTGGTTAAGCTACACATTCGCTATAGCTAAAATTGACAATATTTTGATTATGTAACATTTAGATAAATATTTTGCTAATCATACATAACTCAATTTCTCCCTAAATAACAACATCCTACTTGTTAAAAATTTCACTTTGCACACATTCATAAGATTTTGGCTATCCTTGCAAATTAATCAAACCGACATTGACTCAAAAATATAAAATGTTTTCCTAGGAGAAGCAACTCCAAAAACCAAAGCTTCACATTGGTGGATGGAAACTCGACAAAATGGGACTGTCAAACTTCTATAAGATTCATATTTGAGCGGCTGGGAGAAAACGTTTGAATTCTGATAACGTGTTTGGATAGGTACATAGAATATAATTTAAATATGTGCAAAGTAATTTGTCCTTAGTTCTAATATGGCATTAAATAAAGTATGGAATTCTACTAATTAAATGCAACAATAATTGTACCTACTTTCGAATAAATTGCTTTCATCGCGCAGTACTTTATTTAGTAAGCTATTTTTATGGCACAAAATGATTCAAGAATCAACAAGTGAAAACAAAAAATAAAAATTCTTAAATACATAAATATAAAAGTAAAAACTAATTTTGAATAAAACATTTTTTTTTCCCCAAAAATATACTTAAGGGATTTGTAACAGAACTTAAGTAATTAGGGAATGATAAAGATGACTTAAAAAAAAACTTGCAACTTTAAGTTGATGTCACACCTTTCCGAGCTACTAATAAACTTAATGTCGGATTTTTTTTAATGTAGCTGACAGCTTTTTTATGGGTCACCATGGTAAAATCATATCCATTACATTGGAGTATTTTGTCATGCACCCTTAGGCCTGCTCTGGAGGCAGGACTTGATTCATGTACTTCAGTTACATAAATTCCCTGGAAGTAAAAAATGTAATGGGTTAAAATTGGATTAATCTAATCATCCACTGTTTATTTGGATATAAAATATTATCATCAGTACACAGAATTTTATATTATAATTATTATGATTACAACACCAGGCGGCTATGAAACTGCTATCTGCATTTGGTGCAGACACTGTTTCTTGATGTAGCGAATTCCAGCCCTGATATGGGGCAGTCTGTTTAAAAGTACCTTAAAACAACTAAATGTTACCTAAAATTAACTCCTTAGCATAGTTTAAAAAAAAGAAACACATTTCCCAGCTTGTTTGCTATACAATATAACAATAAGGATATTTTTTTGAATTTTGAAAGACAACAAAAAAGTTTCCAGATTTCCACAATTTCATTTAAATCGTACCTAACACGTTTCCGCACATACAATGTCATTTGCAAATTGAAGTGGATCTGACAGAATATGAGAATAACATCCAAATCAATAAAAGAAACACAGAGTACCTACAGTAAAAGGACCACTGGTATATTACCATTTAGCACTTTCACAGGAACTCTGATTATTAAGAATGGTTCGAAGGCATTGATATGCATCGATAATTGGTGAAGCTTGATAAGCAATTTTGTAAATTTGTTTGTAAAGTGTGTAGAAGTAGGAGAGTTTAATTTTTCTTCGAGTAACTACATCCCGTAATACATTAGTACAGATTCTTGCCAGGCCAAAGTACAGAGAAAACAGAAGCAATAGATCCAAAATTACCTAAAATTTGAACGAGGATAAAGAAATTGCTGCAGTCTTTAGGGATTTGGCATGTGACACTGTTTCCCATGATAAGCTCCTTGATATTTTGTCGCATCGTGTAGTCAGGGGAACAGTGTGGAAACTGCTAAAAAACTATCTTCTAGGAAGGCATCAAGTGGTGAAAATTAATAACGTTTCGAGCGAGGTTTCAAGTGACAGACAGACTTCAAGGATTGAAGTCCTTGGCGATATTCTGTTTAGAACCTATATTAAGTAACTGCATATTTTCCCTCAGCATTAATAGTTCTATAATACAGGGTGTTCCAATAGAAAGTGACCGATTTTAAATACGTATAACTTGTAGGTATATGCATGTAAGTATTTGAAATAAGTCACTTTCTATTGGGACACTCTGTATTGTATGCTGATGCAATGTCTTTCAATGGTAATACTTGCTAAGATGTGAAGGATAAGATGATAACTGGATTAAGTATTACTAAATTGTGTTAGGAAGTTTTAAACTATCACTTAATTTAAACAAAACTAATTATTTAATGCTTTCCTCTCAGTTTCGCCTTTCCCCTAACAAGTACCAACAGACATGATTCCACCAATATCAAAATACATACTTAACACGTTCGCGGACAATTTATAAAAGTAAGTTGTGCTTGGAATGTCAATTTTTGTATTTCCATGTTTGGTGTGGTAAATTGGTTTTAAAATTCGCCGTGAACTGGACAATTTTGAGGTGAATAGATACTGTGGCAGGACTAATAAATTGAAAATACATGTAGCTATATAGGATCAAAGACGACTAGAGCCGTTATTTGTTTATAGAAAAAAATTGGGGTGACTGCTATCGACGTCATGTCCCAGGCAAGGGAGAAGAATATGACGGCTTCAGCAGTACTGTCCGCGAAGGTGTTAAATCACCACAAACAGAGTTTGGCAAACAAAATAATAGTTGTGCCAATCACAAGTTGTGACTGACATATCACTATTTATTAAAGGCGTTAAGTTCCTCTGTTATACTCCTGTGTATCACTCTTATAATTTGGTACATATGTACAAGTAATTCTTTTATCATGTTAACGTTATGCTGTTACCTGGGCTATTACTTTACCCTCATCTGGAGGTTTATCTCAAATACACACTGCACAAAAATTATTGCATCACCAATCTATATATATATAAAAATTAATGCCACTTATTGTTGTAATTTTATAACTCAAGAACGGGCTCACCTACCCAAACCAAATGTTTAGGCTTTGTTCGGACTATTTATTAGATGGTTTATGTGAAGTTTGCACAAAATCGGTCAAGCGGTTCTTCATTTATCACATTTTTTGTAATAAATGAATTATTCAATAAATGGAGGATCATTTTGTTATCATTATTATCTATATATATATATATATATATATATATATATATATATATATATACTGTCCTCCTCTTATATATATATATATATATATATGAAACACAGTTGTGTTGGTTCTAGCACTTATAACTCGAGAACAGCTGGACTGATTTTTATGATTTTCACTTTATTGGATCTGTCTTTGTCCATACTAACATAATAAATCGAAAAAATAAAAAAAAAAGACAAAAAACAAAATTACCTATTTTACTTATTTATGAAAAAAATTCACTAAGCCCGCATCTCTTATAACCGATACCAAGTTTACCGCTACATTTTCATTGCAAACCATTTTGTATACGGCACTATCTCTGATACCTAGAACGAAGCTCGCCGTTGCGCGGTAATTTCATTGCAGATACAGTAGAACAATGCTACTCAGGAACTGGAGCTATTCCGAACAGAACTATTCCACTATTCCGATCAGATAGAGTGGTGCAGAAAGAGTAGATCAGATAGAATAGTGCAGATAGAGTAGAACAGATGGAGTAGTGCAGTGCAGATAGAGTGAAACAGGGCTGCACTGGAGATTTTTTTTTCTTTACATTCTTTTAACATCCTGTGCCTGAGTTTATTTATTTGGTACACTTTACAACAATAATGCCCACAAGCTGCCTAAAAAGGGATGATGTAAAATTTTAATTTTAAGTGACTTCTGATCCAGAGAGTAAACATTAATTTTTTTTAACCAAAGCCAAATTCACCATCGAAAAAAACTGAATTTAATTCAGCTAATAGATACGTTCACACAACATTTAATAGGTATTTCATAATTCAGAAGCGGTACGAAGTTCGCCGGGTCAGCTAGTGCTTTTATATATTTTGGCTACAGTAAATTTATTTTAAAAATTTCTCAAGTATTCCCTGAATGGGCATTCTTTAACTGAAAAACTCGAGTCAAAAAACATGTTGTTTCTTCTTCTGTTAGGTTCTTGTTTACTTTTTTGGGAAAATGCGGATAGGCATACATTCCACTTTGCAATTATGCTGTTCATTTCTGTGTTCTCTGCTTTGATAGATGCGATATTTTGTGCCGTGTATATTTACATATACTCAATAGGTAAACATTACCAGAGAGCTCAAAGCCAAATTAAAAAAAAATCAGCCCTTATTGTAAGTGCTAGAGTTGTCACCAAACTCTTGATGACAATAGAACAAAATTCTCGTAGGCTTTAAACTGCATTAAAAAGCACATACACACTTACATTATCTGTATATCCCTGAGGACTTTTGTTAAAATCCTGATCAATGCCCCCACCAATTTTAAAACCGCAACGCATTTGGTCTCCACAAACTTCCTTCTGCAGCGTTATTGGAATCTGGAAAGAAACTTATTTTATCATCTAGAATATTATCAGCTAGAAGTTTTATATTATAAGAAGACACTGTTAGAAAAGACGGAGTCAAATTAATTAACATGTTGGTCGACTGCATGTCTGTTTGCCAAGGCCCTTTATATTAAATTGTCTTTTATTGTAACATAAATGTATTTTTATTGGGTGTTCCAGCGCTTATATCACACTAATCGTAATAGGTACAAGATTTGGTCCCATTTGAAGGTTGCTCAGAATGCTCGAACTTACCTGGAGCGATGGCAATAGTCTATACTTGCCCTTCCCTGCAAAGAGTAAGTTTCTGACCTACCCTACACAAACTAATAAACAAAACACCCAGGTTTATATTTATGCATATTTCTGACCATTATAAGATAGAAGTAATAAACACAATATTCCAAATAGAATAAGATTACTTATTGGTTATGCGATATACAAAAATAAACATGAGTCATGAAAAATGGGGCCAATTTTCAAAAGCAACAAGCGAAACAGGAAAAAACTATTTACACTCAAGCACTCCATTGCCGTTCCAGCCTGGTGCTGGAATGCCATTTTTGCGCACATCCTGGATATGTATGTATTTAACTCCTGGGTTTAGTTAAAAAATATTCAAATTCGATTCTCCTTGGCTATCTCCAATTTTCTGTTTCATAGGAGAATTGAATTAGAAATTTGATTCTTCGGCCTTCGCACAAGTGACAGAACATACGTGACAAATGACAACTGGTGGTTAATGCAAACATGCCAAAGCCGCTTTCCAGTATGGGAGTGTGACGCCCGGAGCTACTCGGGGCGTTGAGCTCCCGAGCTGTACGTACGAGTCAACCTATCAGGTGTCACATCCGTGGGAGGCTATTTATCTATTTATTTCTTGTTATATCTCAAGATTGAACATTTTAAAAAATATAGTTTTGATTCTCTTTCATTTTTGATAAATAAAAAAACAATTTGCACAAACAAACAGATAATTATTTTTAAAATTTGACATATTTGACACTAAGACAGGCGTCTCACGCCATTATACTGGAACGGTACAAATCTAGTGCGTGGCGCCCCCGAGGTGCTCTAGAGCGCGCCAGAGCGCGCCAATGTGCATACTGGAAAGCGGCTCAAAACGCTAGCGCTTTCTTTTAGGATTTTTTTTTGCAAAGTCCCTGGATTACCGGTACAAGGGGAGCGTTCAGATTAAACGTCGGGTGTCACCCGAGCACTCTCTCCACCCGTTCAGATTATTAGTAGATTTTCACCGAACGACACAGGTCTGTTCTCACCAGTCTTGACCATTCAGATTGGGCAAATCAACAGGCACGCTCGGCGTGCCCCCTCTATCGGGTAACGCTCTGAACCGTATTTCGCCCAAACTTTTCAATCTGAATGCCCCCAGGAGGGGGCCGGATTCTCGTCTCTAGGAGTAGAGCTCCCCGAAGAAACAAAATTTTCTTCTTTATCATTTTCATTAACTTATTTTCAATTACGTTGACACGGACAAAAACATTCGTTCTATCGGGGAGCTCTACTCCTGAGACGAGAACCCGGCCGGGTCCTTATTCCTGAAACAGGAGAGCAGCGTTCCCAGAGAACGAGTGTTCCGTCTTTCTCAATGATATGCAACTGATATAGTGATAATATGAATAAGGGAGGATTTTCATGCATCCGTTTTTCCGACGAAATATGTCCGTTTAACATTCTATTTTGACATATTTATATACGATTATGTCAGAATAGAATGTTAAACGGACATATTTCGACGGAAAAACGGATGCATGAAAATCCTCCCTAATAAAGACGGAACACGTTCTCCTGGAACCGCTGCTCCCCTGTTTCAAGAGGACCCAGGGCTGGGATCACGACAAGTAGAATTCTACTTTCATGACGTCGTTTACAGTGCATACAGTGCAGGCCATGATGACGGTTGCTATAAGCAATTTGACGTCATGAAAGTAGAATTCTGGTAGATTCTACTTGTCGTGATCCCAGCCCAGGTGATATGTAGCATATCAGTTTGACGGATTTTTTTCGTGTGGCTCAATCCAGCTGGTGTAGGCACCGTGGTGGAATGTTAGAAAAAGCAGGGTTGCGTTTAGAAATAGCACTCTGGGTGTGAGAGTGACCCTAGAGTAACTCTAAACCGTTCATAAATAAATTAACAGGTGCGAGTAAGCGAGCGTTATGCTGGAATCGTTCAGAAATCGGGAGTTGACGTGCCCAGAGTGCGCCCAAATTACCCCACTCAGGGACTGGGTTGAAAAAGGGAGGATTTTCATGCATCCGTTTTTCCGACGAAATATGTCCGTTTAACATTCTATTTTGACATATTTATATACGATTATGTCAGAATAGAATGTTAAACGGACATATTTCGTCGGAAAAACGGATGCATGAAAATCCTCCCAAACGCCCTGCAGTTTTTACATTGGTTTCTACCGGGTTTCACATTGACATCCACCGCAACGCCCCAATACGTTCAGAAATAGCGCTCCCAGTGTGCACTCCAAGTGATGACGTCAGAACACTCTGACAAATAACTACTCTACCTTCACACTCCATTTCTAAACGCACTCCAGTGTTGTTAAATTAAACAGGATTTGGCAAGCTGTGGTTTGCCACTGTTATTAGTGCATCGTAATCACCGTATCCGTGGTGGTGCAACATTTTGGTGAATAAGCAACACGCGGTTTATACAAGTAGTTAAGTAGTTACTCTCGTCCGGTGCTTTCATCGCATAGTTGTGATGTTCTGGAGCGCGCTCAGATTGGACTTCGGTTGTGTATCTGTCGTGGCCCGTCCGTCCAGAATCCCTCGGAATACTCCGAGCTAGAATTCAATCATTCCGGTAATAATTTATTGGACGCAACACCAGTGCGCAAAATGCAAGCTAAATTTTGTTGCGTTTCCGCTTTTAATTTTCTTATTATTTCAACTCCTTTAAACATACTGTGTGTATTTGGAACTCCGTCCGTGTGTCCTGTGTCTTCCGAGTTCGAAACAAACCTTGAGCCGCATTCTTTTTATATCTGCGAGTGACTCCGACCGACTCCGAGTCACTCGCACGTTTTAATCGAGCGTTCTTTTAGGAGAAATGCATTTGACCCTGAAATCCATCAACGAAGGTTGGGGATTATGGTTTTGGCATAACTGTTTTCCTCTAGAGCATGCATTAGTTGTATTCCTTCCAAGAGTTTAAAACACTCGAGCTACTCGCTCCAGTCGCTCCGGGGCCCAATTCTGGTCGCAGGGAGAGGAGAGCTCCCCGAGAGAACGGATTTTTTGTTCTAGTCAGCGTTATCGAAAAGTGAACGAGAATGATGAAGACAAAAAATTTATTCTGTCGGGGAGCTCTCTTCTCCGAGACGAGAATCGGGCCCCCGGTGCTAGTCGCCCCCGATTTGAAAGGAACAGATGCGTGGTGCAACAGACACTTTTCGAACGGAATAAGCGCGTGACGCCCCGGAGCTGTTCCGGAGCGCCTCCTAGGTGTGAAAGGAATACAACTATTTATGAACGCCCTCGAGTGTGTTTACCGAAAGGATGAAAATAGAGAGTTCTCGTGCCTCAGACGCTACGCTAAAACGGTACCGCTAACAATACGGTATTTTAAATGGTATTAGTTCTCGAACACGAAGACACAAAAATCCTCTAATCATTCTGTTTACATTTTGACAGCTTAATTGAGTGATTTAAGTTTCATTAATTTACCCTTGGTGTTTTTTATGGAGGAATTATTAGAACTTGCTGTTTTGCAGACGTAAATGGAGCTTAAACTAATTTTGACATAGCATAGCGTTACGGTAAGGCATCCGCTAACTCCCGTTAGGTAGCGGGCTCCGCTAACGCTAATACCGTAAGAACTGTCTTACTTGTCAAATAACGTTACGGTATTTGAAATTTGGACAACACGAGAACTCTCTAATTATGTGCTTGGTAACCAAAAATAATACAGACTACGTCTAAGCCTAAGCGCACTACTACTACAGGATAGGATAGCTTATCTTCATCTCATAAGGCCTGTCTATAGTTCAAATCTCTAACCCCCCATCAGGCCAAAGCACCAGTGATAACGTAGCGTAGATAGCATGTCGTTTTTCGCCTTGACGTAGGTTTTTTGCACCACAGGTTATGATTCGGCGGGCTTTTACTTAATACATACTTGGTTTTACTACATTAATTAACATTCTAAAACAACACTTTTTCAGATCCCGTTTGCATCCTCCTCTTTGCCTATCGTGTTAATCAAAATTATATAATATTTTTCATCATAAATTTAAAAACTTCGACTGCTGGCGCACACAGCTGACGACTTAGGGCGGGTATTATAAAACTGCTTTGACAGTTAACATAAAGTTAACTTTTTGAATTACATGTAATTTCAGAAGTTAACTTTAAGTTAACTCTCAAAGTAGTTTTATAATACCCGCCCTTAGTAAAATAACGTCGGCAATGGTTGCTACACCAATATGGCCACGATTACCAAAAACGAGGCCGATAAGCAATCCTTCAGTACTGTGTATTCAAGGATAATACACACTACTACTACAGGATAGCCTATCCCCATAAGGCCTGTGTGGAACAAATCTGAAGCCCCCGACCACGCCAAATCACCAGCTGTCACGTAAGCAGCATGTACTTTCTCGCCTTGACGTAGGCTGTTTGCACTACAGGTTATGATTCCGCGGACTTATACTTTATGCTTACTTGGGTTTACTACGATTAATTAACATTCTAAAACAACTCTTTTTTAGATCTCGTTTTCATCTTCCTCTTTGCTTATTATGTTAAAGGGGGTGTGCGACAAAAATTAAAGTTTTAGTGTGAAAAAATCTAAGAATAACTGTTCAAACCTCGTTATTCTACGATAAACCATCGCTGAGATATACCGCTTTAAATAAGTGTGGACGACGCTCTCGTGACGTCACGAAAACTTCGTCCAGCCGCGCTCCGCATTGTTAATTTGATTGTTCCCGGCACGCGTGAGTGGTTTTTGTTTAGATTATTGCAGGTAACACAGGAGAAACATATGAAAATTTAATTAACTCCACTTTCTCGTGCGTGGCTTGAGCTTTCGTGACGTCATAGGGTGAGATGCGGTACCTTCATAGAGTCATATCTGCGGTATTATTTGTCATAGAGGGGTGCGGATATCACTGTTATTCTTAGATTTTTTTTCTCTTTTTTCTGAGATGAAGTTGTTTTTTTGGCGCACACCCCCTTTAATCAAAATTGAATAATAATTTTCTTTATAAATTTAAATTCTAAACTACCACCGCTAGTGCAAACAGCGGACGACTTAGTTATGACGTCAGAAATGGTGTCACACCAATATGGCGGCGGTTACCAAACCGAGGCCGATAAGCAATCCTTAGTAGTGTGTATTATCCTTGGTGTGTATTATCCTTTCTTGGTAACAATACAAATATCATAGCAACCAGCATCTTAGTATCTTACCAATAGCCAACAGATCAATTATTTCGTGTTTCGTTCTCAAAAGTTGTGGAGGATGTATTACCAGGGGCTCACTCCGTGCACTCCAAGTGCTCCATATGCACCAAGGATGCATATGCAATACGGCCGTTCCGGTAAAGAATAGGCTTTTGTCCCAAGCCCGCAAATTTAAATAATATTGGGTTATGTTATGTTATCAGTGTGGTTGTGGTGAGCAAATAATAATTATGTAGTTTCGCGTTTGAGTTGAGAATGTTTATGAAATATAATGTTTTATAGTTTGTTAAAAGTATTGTCCTTTAACATAACAATTGTACGCCAAAAATCTACTGTATTTGCACTTTCATCAGGTAGGTTTGCTATAATTGATATTTTACTTTAAAAATTCTGGTAAACTCTATACAGACAGGTATTCGGACAATCAAAAATTTATCAAAATCTACAATTCTAGGATCAGGAAAATGTGGTGTGGCAGTAATAAGAGTAACGGGTACAGAAGCAGGAGCAGCTATAAAAAAACTAACAAACTTGCAGGAACTTCCACAACCCCGTACAGCTATATTACGAAGCATCAAACATCCCATTTCAAATGAAGTTTTAGATAAAGGGCTAGTTTTATGGTTTCCAGGTAAGCAGAAATATCATGTCCAATTATCAATTGTGAGGTTTGGAGAGACCAAGAAAAATCATACATACAGTATAAGTTAGTAGAACCCCAGTTATCCGAGGTAACGTGGGTCGCATCCTCCTCGGATAACTACATTAATACGGAGTATAGACACAGAGCTCATAGACACGCAGACCTCGGGTAATCAGGGTTCTACTAACTGTATTTCAAATTTCTACTGCTACATTAGTTAAGTTATTTCCAGAGTTATACCATGACAAAACTGCGTCGTATCACATAACTCGTCAGCATGACTTATTTCCAATAGACTGTTTATTTATTTTTAATTTTTTTAACGGTCTTGCCACTTTACGTTCACATAATATTATGACTACAATTATAATAGTACCTATATTATGAGATAATCATGTATTAATGGCAATGACATAAGAGTTGCATGTACTATCCTTTCTACTCCCATTAATAGACAAAATACATATTTATTTTAAGAATAGTAAACTTCGTAACTGATGGTCCCATCTATTGACAATTTTGGAAATTAAGATCTAGAGTTATTTGCGCATAAATTCCGTACCCGGACACCGCGAATTTATTTATTTTTTGTTGTTTCTTGCTGAAAAAAAATTTCATTATGAAACAGATTTTGATCTTTTGATCAGCATATTGTAAAATAGGAGTAGAAGAATTGTAAACTAACAATGACCCTTTTGTTCCATGCTGTTAACTCGTCAGCATCAGTGGATAATAGGTTTTCCTATTCTGGGTTTTCCCACGAACTGAATTTTGGTCGGCCGATTAGATACTCAGTCACCATATTGCAGCGAAAATTGCTGCTTGGTGTTGAAGTTTTGTCTTAGATGGCGCCACGATCAAATTTCGACCCTTGTACTATATACATATATATATAGAAAGTTCTAGACTTGGAAACAAAGAGAATAGTCCAATATTGGTTAAACTCAATAATGTAAATACGAAGAAGGAAATAATCAAGAGGATTCGAGGCTTAAAAGGAACAACAGTCCATAAATGTGGGCTGGAGGGAAATGATGGGAAGATTTATATAAACGAGGACCTTCCAGTAGGTAAAAGAGCTCTGTTCAAGAAAGTAAGAGACAAAAAGAGAGAAAATAATTATGCTGCTGCATTCTGTAACAATGGGGTAATATACCTGAAGAAAAAAGAAAATGAGGCACCAATCAAAATAAAGTCCGAAAATGACTTACTCTAAATAAGTACCTGATAAAGAATTATGATAAGTTATATTATTAACAATGGAGCTAAATAACATCTTAGACGACTATAAAGTAAACAATGTGATACTGTGTGATGATTTATCAGAAGTTAGTCATTTTGATAGTGATCAAAACATTAAGATAATGCACGTAAACATACGGAGTATTTATAAAAATTTTGATGAGTTTCTAGTGTTCCTGCAATCTATCCAAAGAAATTTTGATGTCATAGTTATGTCAGAAACGCACTTTATTTATAATTATACAGACTTTACATTAAATGGATACAATTTAATATTTAATGAGAGTAATCTGAACAAATGCGATGGATGTGCTCTATATGTTAAACAAGAAATATTTGTAAGCCAACAACTGTTACAAGAACAAAATCTTAAGTTACTGAAAGTTACTCTCCAGAAAAACAATACCCTGTTGGATGTCTTAGCTACATATAAAGGTTTTGCCATGTCTAAAGAAACCTTTACGCAGAACTTAGACAACATACTACAGAGAGCAATAACAGATCATAATCGAGTATGCATACTAACAGGGGATACAAATATAGATTTGCTTAAAGTAGAAGAAAATGCAACAAGTAACTATGTAACTATGATGCAGAGTCATGGATTCATCAGCATGATAGATAAACCAACTAGGAAGATAGGAGACTCCAGCTCGTGCCTTGATCATTATTTTGTGAAATGTAAAAGTGAGTTGTTTAATAAAATTAATACAGTAATTTTAGAGCAGAAGTTGACCGATCATGATCCAATTCTGCTCAGTTTACAAACAAATACTAAAACAGAGGCAATAAAAACAAGTAACACATATCAAATGATAGGCTATGTTAAATTAACACATTTGTTGGACAGGGCAGAATGGGATGATGTTTATAATTTTTGGGACTCCAATGTATGCACAAATGCTTTCATTTTAGGATTGAAAAAAAATATTTCAGACTCTATGAAAATAAAAGTTATAACCTGTAAAAGCAAAAGATTAAAACCATGGATTACCAAAGGTATTTTAGTATCTATTAGGACTAGGGATAAAATGAAAAAAGAATGCACAATAAATAATAATAATTTAATTTATTTGAATAGGTATAGAAGGTATAGGACAATGTTGTCAAAACTTATTAAGAATGCCAAATATACTTACTACAAATTGCTTGCAAATAAAAATGCTAGTGATCCTAAAAAGTTATGGAATATAGTTAAGGAAGCTACTAATGATCAGATGGTTGCTTCTCAACTAAAAAATATAATTGATGGGGAAGGGCAAGAATTGACAGATAATAAAAAAATTGCAGATGAGTTTAATAAATATTTTTCAAATGTGGGAAAAAAACTGGCTGACAAAATTATGGAAAATAAAGGAAACTTCCAATTCTTAGAAAATGAACCAAGGTCAACAAGCTCTTTTCTATTAGGTCCTGTATCCAATGTTGAATTGTCCAAACACATACAAAGTCTTAAAAATAATGTAAAAGGAGGGGAAGACTGTATTTCTTCATCCATTATCAAAAAGTATAAAAGTAGCATTTTGAGACCATTACTACATATAATAAATGTGGTTTTCAGTACTGGGGTGTTTCCTGATATTCTGAAGAGCGCAACAATAATACCGCTATTTAAACAAGGAGACAAAAAATTAATTAACAATTATAGGCCTATTGCATTAACGAGCTCAGTGAGTAAAATTATTGAAAAATGCCTAAAGGCCAAAATGATAACATTTTTGGAAAAAAAAAAATTGCTCCATAAAAATCAGTTTGGTTTCAGGGAAGGCTCCAGTATTGAGAATGCACTTTGTAAGGTCACTGAATCAGTACTCCAAAAACTGGATCAAGGCAAAAAAGTGATTGGCATCTTTTTAGATCTGCAGAAGGCATTTGACACTGTGGCGCACCCGATTCTACTGCAACGCTTGGATCTCATTGGTATAAGGGGTACACCTAATAATCTTATTAAATCATATTTAGAACGCAGGCAATGCACCAAAATAGCAGGAGAGGTGAGTGAGCAGTTGCAAGTGGAGTTTGGTGTGCCGCAGGGTACAGTGCTTTCAACGCTCTTATTCAATATATATATAAATGGAATATTATCAGTATTAGATGATGATCAGGGAGTAGTATATTGTTTTGCGGATGACTCTGGAATAATTATTTGGGGAAACAGCTGGGAGGGAGTAAAGAATAAAGCTGAATTCGCACTGCAGAGGATTAAGAGATGGATGGATTATAGTCTGCTTTCATTAAATGTAGTGAAAACCAAATTTGTTGCCTTTTCGTTTTCCTCTTGCAATTTACCAAACTATCAAAATTTGATATTACATGAAAACAACTGTATATTGGACCAAACATGCTCATGCATAAAACTGATAGAAAGAAAAGGTTACTTGAAGTACCTAGGAATATACTTAGATGAAAATCTTACATGGAAAGAGCATATTACATATGTTACTAACAAAGTGCGAAAATTGATATTTAAGTTTTATGAATTGAGACCCATCCTTACTCTGGATACTCTGAGGACAGTATACTATGCCCTGGTCGAGTCAGTATTGAACTATGGTTTGGTTGTTTGGGGTGGTGCAGGGGTGACAATCTTAAACAAGCTTCGAGTAGCACAAAAATACATTATAAAAATCATGTTATTTAAAAATAGAAGATATCCAACAGAACTAGTATTTAGTGAAAGTGGCTTGTTTGATATACGACAGCTTCACTTAAAATCAATAGTGAGGTTTATGTTGAGGGTGCCTTATTACAAAGAAGCTATTAATCATGGAATAAACACGAGAAATGCTGCCCAAAAAGGTGTCATCAGACAAACCCCCAAGCATACCTTATGCCAATTCCATATCTATTGTTTGGGACCTAAAATATTCAATTGTCTACCAATTAGCATAAGAACTCAACCCTATAACAAGTGTAAAAAAGAAATAAAACTATGGATACTTCAAAGTGACTTTCACATTGAATATCAAATTTAGATTAATAACAAGAACAAATTCAACTCGTTAAAAAATTGTATTCTTGCTTTATGTAATACCATCAATGGTGTATTTTGTGTTTTTGTATTAGGGTATTTTTTTCATATGATTTGGGATTTATATAATTTTATATAATTTTTTAATTTTTTATTTGTATAACCTCGGGTGATATTCTTTAAAGTATAAGGGTGCACACACGGTACTATAAGTACTATCGTGCACTAAAGTAGCTTAAGTAGGTCTAAATTATGGGTAAGGGAAAATTATATTGTAATTTACAACAGAGTTTATTAGTTTAGGACCAAACATTGCTTCTGTAATTTGTATCTTTGCTACTACCAATAAATAAAAAAAAATAAAAAAATAAATATATATATATATATATAAGAGAAGGACAGTAATATATATATATATATATATATATATATATATATATATATATATATATATATATTTACAGAGTATCTTGACCGGAGAATTTATAAACAATGGGAGTTTCTTGGGGTATCGGCTTAGTGGAAAAAGAGATTTTTATTTCCTAGCCCTTCAAGACGACCGATACCCCAAGAAACTCCCATTGTTTATATATATATATATATATATGTATATAAAAGAGGAGGACAGTAACGGGGTACTGTACAATAGATAAATGAATTATGCATTTATCTATTGTACAGTGGTTATTATTGCAATAGAGCTGTCTTGAAGTTTCAAGTAAGTTTATTGGGCCTTCTGCCTCCAAGTAAAGGGTTAATCTTGTCTCTTAGTAAGGAGTTTTCATTGTTATTTTTAGCGTCCTGATGAAGTCTGCAATGGTAGACGAAAGCTTGATATTTGAATAAACAGACACTTAGTAGCACATTACATCGTTTTACTTTGGCTACCTCTAGCATTTTGGGGAATCTCATCTATTAACTTATCCTTTATATGTATATATATATATAGCATTACTCAGCTTATAACTTCCAAATGTGGTCTCTCTATTCCTCCATACAATTGTTCATAATCATCTATGGGAATAGCTAGCATAAAATTTAAACGTCTCTGCACCTTCTCCAAAGAATCTATACAAACATTATAATATGACCAGAGTCGGCTAGCATACTCCAGCACATTTCGCAAAGCCATAATACTGTGTTCTAAAGCACATGATATCACGAAACTCAGTCAGTGTTCCATTTACAAAGCCCATGCATAAGCTATTTAAGTCCTTTTGTAGTTCTAGACAATCATCAGTGTTTTTGACAAGAATATCAAAAAATATTGGTGCCAAATGTGATCCTTGAGGCACACTAGATGACACATTAATATTGGCTAAAACCACATTCTCAATTTCAGCTGCTCACATATGGAATACTGTGATTTTTTTCAAAGATAGGTGTTATAGGGCCCAAAAGCTTCACCGGGGAAGATAGTTGTGAATTTCACGTTCATGGAGGATTGGCAGTTGTCAACCAAGTATTAGATGCTCTAGGAAATCTGCATAATTTGAAGGTTGCGGAGCCAGGAGAATTTACTAGACGAGCTTTTCTGAATGGAAAATTAGATTTAACAGAAGTTGAAGGTTTAGCGGATTTACTCAAAGCTGAGACAGAAGCTCAAAGAAAACAGGTTGGTGGTTTTTGTACATACATTTTATATGATGACAAATGCTACCTAAACAGAACCGCAAATATTCAAGGTATCAACCTTATAATGGCCAAATTGGTTGATAGAAATTTGTAACATTTCAGATGTAGGTTCTAAATTTATTACTGTTTGGTTAAAGGTGATTTGAAACGTTTTGTCTAATCAGTAACTACTTCTGTTATTTCAATTAACAGGCTTTTTGTGATCTGTCACAATATTCACAAATTTATTAGAAATAATATGCTTGCTAATTGTTGTACCACATGTTGGCTTCGACTCAAGGATGTTTTCTTGTACAATATTTATGCTTCTTTGGTAGGACTGGTTGAAGTGTTGAATGACTTTCAAGTTTTTTATATGTTGTTTTTATTGAAATAAATTACGGTTTACGTTTTTGAAATGTTTTTTGTGTTGAAGAAATAACTTTTTTTTAGGCATTTTTACAATCCCATGGATCACTCAGTAACCTCTATGAAAAATGGAAACAAAAATTAAAGCATTCTGTAGCGAATATTGAGGCACATATTGATTTTGAAGAAACTGAAACGCTAGAATATGGTCTTGTTGAAGGTGTTAGAGAAAATATTCATATTCTATGTCAAGAAATAGAGAGACACCTCAAAGATGGTCGAAAAGGTGAATTGCTAAGGAACGGAGTGAGAACTGTCATTCTCGGGGAACCGAATGTTGGTAAAAGTAGTTTGTTAAATGCACTATGTCAAAGACCAGCTTCTATTGTTACACCCATATCTGGAACTACTAGAGATGTTATTGAAGTTACATTAAATATTGGTGGATATCCACTTATTCTTTCTGATACTGCAGGCTTAAGAAACACTTCTCAAGATATCATAGAACTTGAAGGCATTTCAAGAGCGAAGGATATGTATAGGAAGGCAGATTTAGTAATTTTAGTTATAGATTTTCTAAATTACTTGAACTGGCATGATAAATGTAATTCCATTAATAATGTTAAAGAATATATTCAGGTATATATTAAAGAATTAGGCCTATCAGATCTGATACAAACTGATGAATGTGATTTAAAAGATTGGAAAAACATGTTCAGTAAATCTTGTGTTGTAGTTTTAAATAAAACTGATTTAGATACCAAAAATCTATGTGGTAATATGGATAATGAAGTAGTTAAACTGTCTTGCAAAAGCGAAGATGGTATACCGGAACTAGTGGATGTATTAGCCCAGCACCTAAAAGTATTGTGAGTATTATTTATTAAGAGTCGTATCAAAATCTCAGAAATTTCATTCCACAGACCCACCATTGAAATTTAAACTCTTTACATATCCCAGCATATATGGGGTAAAAATATACCTACCCTATGGCTTTTTCAAAAAGAAAGCCACTGTATACCTATAATTGCTGGAGCAGAGCGTTATGTCTTTACTTAGGGCCAGGGACTATACATATTTGGGTTTTCCTCTTCATTCTAATGTACTTAACTTAATTTGGCTCCAAATAGGTATAGATGTCTACTATTCTACCATTTATGTAGTTGTTATTTTTATCATATTTGTCTTTTTTTTTGATATTTGTCTTTTAGTCCCTGTTAATTGTCTGAAGTCCTTCTTTTTTTTTTAATAATACAAATAATAATAATATATCACATACAATCTGATGCGTTTATAAGTATATGATTTAATACACAAAAAAAAAGGATGTGTACATTATACCTATTTAATTAGTGAAATTAAAAAAAACTTTTATAATCCATTTTTAGATGTGGTGATCCATCTCATGAATATCCAAGCATGAACCAAGCCAGGCATAGAGAACAAGTACAAAAATGCAGAAATAACTTATTATTGTTCCTTCAAGAAGCCAATAATAAAGAAACTGGTGATTTGGTTATAATGGCCGAATATCTTCGTAAAGCTTTGAGAAATCTTGGAAGACTTATAGGTACAGTTACTTCAGAGGAAATTCTGGATGTTATATTTAGAGATTTTTGTATAGGAAAATAAAAACGAAATGTTACAGAGACGTTATATTGTATGAATTAATGATGACACCGTTATTGTTAGTGTTAGATATTTGCTATTTTGTAATGTAATGTCAATTTCTGTTCAATAAAGCCTAAATTTGTAGTATTTATAAGTACTACAATTTATTCAACACAAATATTCTAGGAAATCTAAAAATTCTGTAGATTTTGAACAATAAAAAAGAACCGCCTGAAAGATCAGTGAAGTAAAAACTGCTGGTAGCTGAGAAAAAAAAAATGGAATGAAAGAAAATAATGATAAATCTAGTGTAGATAAACCTGCATTTAGATAGTAAGCTTTAGTTCACATTCATGATATTGACAAACATTTAATCAAATAAATTCACTAATATCTGACTTGGCTGAATTTGAATATACTATCAAAGATCTGAGTATTGACTGCACTGATTTGAGGAATTACCTATGTGATTTTGAACGAGAAAAATTTCAATGTGTTGCATCTAATTATTTGCACTATTACAAAAAACTTCAATGAGATTTTTTTTTCTTTTGGAAACATATGATCTTTCTTACTTTGATATAATTGTACATCCAAACTGATAATTTTAATATAAATGGGTAGGTACACCATGAACCAAACAATACTAATTACAATCAAAATTATTTTACGGTAATGCGCCTTTAATTTCCACAGTAAATAATGTAAAACTTGAACTTTCAAGGGTTACTAACTTAATACATATTGATATAACAGTAAGTCCCGGTTTATTAAACTTCAGGCAGGTTCGAATTTTTTTAATTTTAACTGAAATCGAGAGATTTTGTTATTAAAAAACGATCAATAAAAATTTGAGCGCAGAGCCTGAAGTCGTGGAAGTAATCGAGGTGGAGCATGAACTACCACCTGAACCTCCACGAGTAGAAATTCAGCCACGGTTATGTGACAAGGCATGTCAAACCTTTAGGAAGTGCAGAGAGGCCACCTATCCCTTTTTCTTCAAATTCCGACTTGTAACTCGGAACTTTTCCGACTTGCAACTCGGAATTCCGAATTTTAACGGAAAGTTATTCCGACTTATAACTCGGAATTCCGAGTTACAAGTCAGAATTTAAAAAAAAATGGAATGAGTGGCCTCTCTGCGCTTCCATAGGGTTTGGCATGCCTTGGCACATAACTGGCTGAATTTCTACTCATGACAGCTCAGGCAGTTGTTCATGCTCCACCTCGATAACTTCCACGACTTCAGGCTCCGACCTTTCGATTGAGGGAGGGCCACGCCGCCGCCAACTGTAAATATTTCGCGATGTCTTACTGCCTTGCTCTTTTATCGCTGAGCACTCGCGGTTTCGTAGAGAAATGTCTTCCCGGTTGACATGCAAACTTATGTGGTGCAACATTAGAATGCATCTGGGATCGAACAGTACTCATGTTGTATTCTAGGTAGTTTTCCATATCTTTTTTCAGTTCGAAATGATCTTGACAGCAATACATGGTCGACGTGGAAGAAACTGATTTAACATTTCGCCGAGGTGCGTTGAATTCTTTACGTTGTGTGGGAGCTTATAGAACATTTTTTTTTCGTGGTGTTGTGCTGGACGTATTTGTACATTTTGGTACAAAGCAACAAAACAACACTTTCTGTTTGGCATTTTTATTACTGTTTCTGGGTCCTGACGTCACGCGTCCTAGTCTCGCGTACAGGTACGTTTACTAGCCTCGCCCCGACTCGCTTATATCTAAGCTTATGCCCACAGAGGACGTAAATATCAATATTTTGCGCTCAAATTTTTATTCATCGTTTTTTATTAACAAAATCTCTCGATGTCAGTTAAAATTAAAAAAAAATCGTATCTGCCTATTCTATTGGTCTGCCGACGAATAGGATCACAGATTGCGTTTTTATCCATCAGATTGCATACCTGACAGTTTATCAGAAGGTGAATAAACCGGCCCTTAATAACATACATTTTTGTATTTAACGCGTTCACTGCCATGAGAGTCGTAGTTAGTGCCTCAGAAAATATAAACTTTAGGGACTCCGACTCGTCGTATGTGCCTCACTACGTATCATGACTATCATGCTATATGGGTCTGTGTTACTGCTACAGTGTTACAGGCCGCCTGTATTTATATGAAACGATATTTTGTGTGGCCTGACGGGCCAGAAAAAAAATTTGCCTTACGAAAAAAATTTCTTGTTTGAGTTTTGCAAAGAAGTATTAGAAGTAAGCGATCATAATACATAATATAAGAGTGGCCAGGAGGGCTTGGTTTTGGTCATCTCATGGTGGCGGTGTACGTGTTAATTTATAAACAATTTTTTATTGATGATGATGAATTTTACCTCTCAACTTATTCTAAAAAACAAATAGATATTCTGATAGAACATATAAACTATAATTTGGGAATCGAAAATTGCCTGGAAATCCAACAATTATCTATCAATGTTAAATCGTTTCGGATTCTCATCTGCGATAAATTCTCTCATACGTGAAACAATTGAACAACTTCCATAGGTAATTGATTACATATCATTCAACAATTTGCTCAATCCATGAATTTCTTCCTTCGTTCTTCTCTCTTCTTTAACGAACCTCTATCTCAATGAGAAAGATATGGCTATGGGGATTTTCTTAGGGAGTAGGTACCTATCTAATAAAGTTACCCTACTAGACATAAAATGGATTATAGCTTAGTCTCCCTATGTTCCTTACACCAATAACTAATAAAAGTGATATATGTAGGTAGGTACCTAATTCAATGGGCCACTTTCACGTGCCGGGAATATGGCAAATTATGATATTTTTTGACGCAGATACATCAATGCAACCGAGAATGAACAATATATTGCAAGATTTTAGTCAGATTATTAAATAAATTAATAAATAAAAATTAAAAATTTAGACAAAAAATCACGTGATTGGGTAAAGCTGATTTTGACGTGCTTGTTGCCACATTTAGAAATGCGAAATTTAAATGACATTATAACGATTATACCTATCCTTTATTTTTTTATAATGTAGTAAAGGACAAAAATAGTTTCTAGCTAGTGAAATGTGTAATGATTTACTAATGAGAAATTTGGCATCCTCGCATTTTTGTTGATTTTCCAGTTTCGCGTTTTCGCGCCAGTTTAAAAATTCGATTTTTAAATAATTTTTTTAAATTTTTTCAAAAATAAGCGTTTTTTTTTTCGGAAAAAGGTAGGTATACAGATAGTATTAGAATGACTAAAAGAATTATTTAAATATGTTTTTGAAAAATGTGAAAGTGGCCCATTTATTTATTCATTAAAAAATAACTGTTCTGCTGAACTGATCGGTGTTGACTCTAGAATCGTAAAAAGATTCCATGGTTTTCTGGTCACCTATAGAACACGTAAGCAGAGCTGGGCAGGGCTTGAGTGCTTTGTGCTTGCGAAAGTGCTTGAAGCCCTTTGAGGGCTTGAAAGCCCTGTGCTTCAAGCCCTTTTATAGATTTGTAATTGGGGCTTGCAAAGTCAATTACTTTAGAAAAGTGCTTGGTAATTTGTAATTGAAAAAAGTAATTCAAGCCCTTTCAATGAGCTTCAATTACTTTTAGAGGGCTTGAAGCACTTTTGGGAGCTTGAAGCACTTTGAAAGGGCTTGAAGCACTTTAAGAGGGCTTGAAGCACTTTTGGGAGCTTGAAGCACTTTGAAAGGGCTTGAAGCACTTTAAAAGGGCTTGAAGCACTTTAAAAGGGCTTGAAGCACTTTGAAAGGAATTTGAATTGACCATCACTCAACCTATCCCCCACTTGAAAATTTTCGATCGTGTTTTGTCCCTTAATTTTTTTTTCCATTATTTGAACTTGAACCGTCTTATGTCTTTTCTCTCTTAACAATGGAGGTTTTGGGTTTGAGCTTAGAATGGAATTTAAAAAAAAAAATAATGAACTTATTATTCAAATAAATAATTAATTTATATTGGTAACCTATTTAACTTTATCACTGGATTTTTCCACTTTTCCCCATTGAACATTTTCAAAACCTTAAAATTGAATTACTATGGAGTACCCCAAGTACCCCAGAACTACATCTCAAAAAAAAAACATACTACTGCTACTCTGTGAAATGTAAAGTTCGTCTCTACTATACCAATTCTGTGTGATGAGTGTACGCGGTAGCTTATGCCACTTTGAGAATTTTATTACAAATTCAAAGTGCTTTAGGCACATTTAAAGAGCTTCAAGCACATTTAAAGAGCTTGAAGCACATTTAAAGAGCTTGAAGCCCCCCAAGCACTTTTGATGTGCTTCAAGCACTTTTCAAATCACTTTGAGGGCTTTGTGCTTGTCAAGCCCAAAGCACTTTGAGGGCTTTGTGCTTGTGAAGCACTTTTGAAAATAAAAAGGAATTTGTGCTTGAAATTGAAGCACTTTGATAGAGGGCTTAGGGCTTAGTGCTTCAAGCCCTTTTACTGAGGGCTTTGCCCAGCTCTGCACGTAAGTAATCTAGTTTTTAGTAGGTAGGTACTGATCAAGTTCCTGGTAGCTTCAAAGTGTTGTTGTGACTCCCATCCACAAAACTGGTGACAAGTCGATAAAAAATAACTATCGACCATTAATACATTTGCCATACTTTTGGGAAATGCCCGAGGAAATACAACCGACTGCTGAGTTTTTTTGATCAAAACAATATTTAAAAAATAAGTGTTTATAGGTTTTATATACTTAGACAAATTTTAAATAAAAAGCTTTTATTTAAAATGTACAAAAGTTTTATAGAATCACTTTTGAGATATAGAGTTGTGGTGTGGCTTATACCATAATTCATTGAGCCAGCTATGCGTCGTTCAGAATTATACCTATACACTGAAAGTCATTTGAATGTTAAAAATAAGTATTCAACAATTCCAATATACAGAGTGTTTCACGAACATCGAAACAGGAAGCGTTTTGGGTATAACTTTTTGACCCCATCGGTATTTTGCTAGGGTGCACCCCCTAGTTGGGGTGACTTTCACCCCTGTTTTTTAGATAGGGAAGATGGGTCGAGTGGTACCTTGTTTTAAAGGTATTTTGATTCTTGTCGAATGATTAGTTCTCGAGATATTTATTGTCAAAGTTGCCATGGGCTTAAGAGGCCAGCAACAAATTCAAGCGCGCGAAATTCATTCTTTGTCGCCGAGTTCAAAGTAGGACCGTGATAGACGACGTTACGGCAAATATTTCCGAGATAACGGAAGGGTGTGATCAAATTGCATGGAAGGTGAATAATAAATCCTATGGGCTTTTGTGGAGGCAAAACTAATACACCTATCATATTTAATATAAATTAAAAAGTATACAGTATACAGTTATAATAATAGTTTTATAATTTACATTGTGTTT